ACACTATATCTAAAAAAGATAAGTTTATTTAATTGTCAGAATTCATAAAACTATTAAATCTTAACCTTTTATATCTTAATCATCAGGTAACAGAGATGGATATTCCATCAGGACTAGCCCATCCATAGTGACAAACACCAAACATTTAGGAATAAGTTTACAGTGATTTAAAATTTTTTTTTTTAAAGATTTATTTGTTCATACAGAACTGGGGTACAGGCCAGAGGCTCAGGGGCGGCGAGAGGCTTCACCAGAGACAGAGTGGGGAGCAGCAGGCAGGTCAGGAGAGGTCTGCCGCACCATGTCACCTCCGGGGCAGGTGGGAATCGAACTCATGCAGAAGTGGCTTTAGTTTCTCAGTGCTGTGCTTTAACCTGCTGCGCCACCAGGGAGGGCCGTGATTTTAAATTTTAAGTAAGGATAAATTCTGAGAAAAGCCTGGAAAGATGTTTTTTAAAAAACAACTAAGAGACAGAGCCATCTAAAATCTGATAACATCCAAAATTCCATTTTCGGCTAGCGACTCACATTCACATGGGAATAGTTTGAGATGCCTTCACTGGCATGCTTAAGGGGCATCTTAAGCCCAGCGGACCTCAAAACAAACTGTGAAATACAAATAAAGAGTTAAGGCAGCTCATTTCATGAGCAAGTCTGACCTAAGTGAATTTCCCTTTTGGGAAAACAGCAAAGACTGACCATACAGTACCGCTTATACTGAAATATACTTCACAGGGAGTAGAGGTTAAAACAAAAAATCAAAAATTGTTCCAATAGGGCCCTCCCTGGTACCCAGCAGGTCAAACCACAGCACTAAGAAGCTAAAGCCACTTCAGCATGAATTTGCTCCCCAGCCCCAGAGGTGACCACATGGCGCGGCAGACCTCTCCAGACCCACGCTCTTCCGATCTCAGCAGTGTACTTCGTCAATCGTCCTGTTCTGCTCCTCACTGTTTCTGGTGAATCCTCTGATTGCCCCTGTGCCTCTGGCCTGTATGCAGAAGTAAATCTTTTTTAAAAAATTGTTGCAGTATGTAAGGTGTGGGCCTCTCTGGTGGTGTAAAGAGTCACGTCTCAGCACTATGAAGCTGTCGCAGCCACTGCAGCATGAGTTCGATGTCCCACCAGGGAGGTGACCCTTATGGCACAGCAGATCTCTCCAGCAACCCACCCTGTCTCTGGTGAATCGTCGCACCCTCCTCCGGCCTTCCCTCTGCACCTCTGGCCTACATCCCAGCTCTTGTATGCATAAATAATTTTTAAAAGCAATACAAAGGTAAGATTTGGGGGGGGGGGGAAGGGTTAGGATTATTCCAGGTTGACAGAAACCCCTTCCCAAACTAAAACTGTTTGCCTTTCAAGGAACACCATACTCCACACCAAGGATAAATGAGTAGCAAAGGGACTAAAGTTGTGAAACTCAAGAAGCTTCAGGCCAGAGAGCCTGCAAGCTGGCAAGATGTGCCAGAAAATTACCTGAACGTGGCTAATTTAAAACATGCAGCTTCCTCTCCAAGTCTTCTGTCTGGTAGATATAAAAGTACCAACAAAATGTTTTCTATAGTGACCAAAATAAGTTGAAAACCACTGAAAAACAGGTATCTCCAGACTTAATATTGAAGCTGCCAGAAAAAAAACAATTTCCCAAAAGTGGAATGCGGCCCCACTGACTCCCTAAGGCTTCTAAGCCATGTTCCTCACCCGCCCATCTAGTCACATGCAACCAGGTCGCCGCAAGCCAGCATGTAAGCTCCAAGGTCCATGTCCAACACCCAAGTTTGGCCTCATGGACCCACATAGACACTGCTCCTACACAAGGGGTGCAGGGAATGGGGGTGAGCATGGGGGAGGGGGAATGGGGGGATGGAAGGACGCTCGGGAGGCACATGCGCAGAGTGCAGAGGCACAGTGCTGGGTAGGAGCCAGCCTGGAGGGTCTGAAATGGCCCTAGGGGCCACACTCAGAGGAACGCAGCCTGACTGGCTAGGGGTTTGCAGACCCTCACTCAGGACTGTGCATTGGCCACCAGAAGCCTCTGGAGATGGCCAGCTGCCAGGTCTGGCTGCATCTCTGCACCAGGTGAGATTTTGAAGGCAGCCCTTGGGCTTGAATTATATCATAGTAGCAGCTTGTGTGAGGAACTTCTGATAAACAGTATCCTCCCGGGCAGCTGCTCAAACCCAGCAAATTGCTTAAAAATGATGGCACACTGGGGAGGAGTAGGAACCCAGAGCCTCCGTAGTGGGGCAAAAAGAACTGTTAGGGGAAAGGCTGCCCTGAATGAACTCCACAGATATGGGTTTTGTGGACTCCACCCCCACTCCAGACACTAAAACTACAAATCCCAGCAACACCAAAGGGAAGACTGCTAGGACCCAAGGGCAGAGTTAAGCAGCCATCTTGGGGTTCGGGATATAAGACCAACATGTTAGGCTGAGGATCTCTCTCAGCCTTGTGGCTCTTCAACAGCCTTTGGCGTGCCAATGGGGTTCAGGTCAGTGAACTAGTAGCACACACTAGTTAACTTTTCTCTTTCTTACTCTTTCCCTGGGTTATTCCTTTCATTTCTCTTGTAAATTAACCCATTATTGATCTTTTTGTGTGTTAGCAGTTGAGACTTGGGGTGAGGACCCACAGACCCATGTAAATTGGGTTGGTCTGTAACAGAACTGGAGGAAGGTAAAACTTAAGAGGCAGATTAACACTAGTCACAGCTTTCCAAGTAACCTACTGTTGTTCCAGCAGGAAGGGGCCCTAAAGAATCCCAAGGAGGCATCTCAGTAGAGTCCAGAAAGAATGAGAAGGGATCTGTCAGCTTCTTCTCTCTCAGGTCCAACTTTGGCCCCAATTGCCCCACCACCCTTTGCTGGCAGCTGAGGATCCTACAGCCCCAGGAAGACTAATGGAAGCCCTACCTACCTCATGTTTAGGGGACACTGAAACTGGCCAAAAGGTTAGGTCAATAGGTAATATCCAATGTGGACTACTGAGCAACCAAAAACCTACATGGAAGCTGGTGACAGGCAGTGAATCTTGGAAACAGATTAGAGGGGTCAGCTTTGGAATGAGTTCCAACATGACTTGGTACCAGCTCCCGATGTGGCAGTCTGAGCCAGAAAACCTCTACTGTCATCCAAACTCTTTTTACAGGAATGGAGAGTTATAGGCAGGCAGTGATTTGTCTGAAGCCTTGTAGGACCCAAGAGCCCTTCTTAGGTCAGGTACATTCCAAAATACTGGATGAAAATTGCCAGACTGAAAATCAAGCCTGGCATCATTTTGGCTTATTGCTGAGAACTGTGCTTGCCAGTCCCTTCCTCTGTCCAGTCCCTCTGGAGGGTATCCCCAGTAATGTCTTTCTTTTGGACAGGATTGTAGTTTGGAGCTTTGCAAAGTCTTGACCAAGCTAGCTGTTTAGCTGCTCAGAGAACTAAGAGCAACGTGGCTGTTCCAAAGGAACCTTCAGAGGTTCCACCTTTAACAAAGGGCAGACCCTCCTGTGGAATTCTGAGGATATTTCAGACATCTTCACACCCATCAACCAGTCCATTATAGCCTAGCAACAGACAGAACTTCCAATAGAGAAAAGTAGCTGTGGAGGCACCAAGACAGACCAAGGCCTGTGCTCTATGTAAATGGCAAGTAAGTTTGAGCTTTTTCAGTTATCAGTCTTTCTAACTGTGAACTCTTGGCCAACACTGCTTGAACCACAGGTCTGAAAGACAGTCACTTCTTGTAGGGCTAATGGACCCAACAGGAAGAACCAAAAGGCAGTGTCACTACTCATGGATATATAGGAGGGCCCAGAGAAGTTTTTCTCAGCCTGTTATTAATCCATGCCTGCTTTGGTAAACAAAAAATGTCAAACTCATGTCCTGACCTGGTATTGATCCTGAAGGGGTATTTTTAATTCTAAATCTATAGGATAGTTCTGAAGTTAAGGGACTGGTATATGGTGAACAATCCTCTGAGTTCACCCCTATTTCTCATTTGATTCATGAGTCCCTAACAACCCAAGACTCAGAACTGTAGCCATAAGAGAAACAACTGGTGAATGAAGATGCCCATTTCACATTAGTTTAACTCCATCTATGTTTCTTTCCAATAGTAAACAGTTAAGATGGAAGAGACTGCATACTGCTAAGTATACAGAGGAAATACATTAGTAGCTAAGTTGGAACTAGTTTCTGGAATTTATCTCAGAATTAACGAATTGACCGCTTAACAGCCATCTCCTTCAGAATTTACACTATATATGTAGGTCTGAGTTAATCAACAGACACACCACAGCATTTTCAGATACTAGAAACCCAAATTTTTGTTAAGATTGCTCAATAACTGTACATCCACAACAATGAAATGCTATGTGGTTTTTCAGAAACAAGTAAACCCATATAAGCTATTCTGAAACAGGTGGGATGTAGAAATAAGAGTAGATGTATGTTTGGATATGCTGAGAATATGGGGGTTGGGTGGAAGGAGTGAGTCTTGCCTTTTACCAGCGAGCCTTTTGTACTGTTTGAATCTTGCCATGTATAGGTATTGCTTTAAAAAAAAATTAACATCCATCCCACTCCTTAAAACAAGGATTGCTGCATTCACCTTCTTGCAGCCTTGCACCAAGAACATTCCTGCCACAGACCAACTAGACCATCTTCCTTCTCACAAGTCATCAGACAGTTCCAAGCAGATCAGTGCTTAGGGCTAGGAAAGGGAAGAGATTGCCTACATTTACTCTTCTAACTAGAATAGCAGGTGCTTTGTCTGTGGAACAGGCAGCATCCAGCATAGCTGTGGATTTAGTTGGTGGGCACATTCAGAAGTGAACATTTAGGATGTGCAGTGTCAGCTTCTGTAGGTGTTGAGGGTGAAGACAAAAAAATGAAGATGGTGGAGATGAGGAAGAATGTGAAGAACTCTAAGTCACAGTGGTAGAAAATGAAGAGAAAGTACTGGATTTTACAAGAGAAGAAAAGAGACTGAGTTCAGGAGTTGCCAGTAAGTTTATAGTATTGCATCTTGATTACATATTTGTAAATAAAAAACTTGAGTATTACCCTCTGGTAAAAATGCAAAACCAACTTCCTTTTAGATTAAAACAGTACTTTAGGGGACCAAAAAATGGACCATATGTGGCCTGGTGTGGAGAGCTAGATAAGAGGGAAATCAATCACCAATTCAAGAAACCCCAAGACCTCTAAGGAAGAGGATTGTGGTTCAGGGAAACCCAAAAGTCAACAGGTGCTGTGCATGTGCACAGTGGGTAAGAACTTTCAATTCCAGTGTGGCCTGATGTCCTCCATCAGCATGCCAGTCTCTGAGGCAAAATGGAGTGGCATGTGAGCCATGCCGATGTGGGGTAGGTGGGTGCCAGAATCACAGACCAATAATAGAGTACCTTAGTTCTTGTGCCTTCAGAAATCCAATGTCCCCAAATAAAGAGTGGAGAGAAGAGAAATCAAACCAGAAATTTTCCAATTGCCATTAAAAAGAAAACTCAGCAACTCTTGCCTTTGTCGTTAACCCTGAGAACTTGCTGGAGGAACACAACCATGAGTTTGCATGGACAGGGAGGGAGGGCATAGTGTGCTTCCTGCGGGGCTGCCTCTAGAATCCCTACAGCCCAACCTCTCATATCTGTGGCGCAGTGACCTCCTCCCTGTCTACCCCAGAGCAGGAACACTGACCGGACACAGTGGGACCAAGAGGAGGGGAAATAGTAAAAAAGCAGCAGCAAATTGCACACCAGCTGGCACTGTATGTGGCAGCTGTGCCTCCTCAGGACCCTACCACATTCAGAGACCTCACCAGATCAGCACCAGGGACCCTGAAAAACATGGTCCTACTGTGTTCAGACATTTGGTGTGCTACCCAGGTCAGCAATCATAGCAGAGTCTCTACTTCTCAACCTGGATTCAAATAATTTGAGGCTGAAGACCTTATTGTCCACAGTTAATGGAAAATCACTCCTACAGGGAGAACTTGGATAATGGACAGACGAGCTGTAGGAACTTACTTTCCCCAAGTGTTCGGACACTACAAACAAGATGACTGACAGCTGCTTGGGCCACCACTCAAACCCCTAACCTGAGATGTGAGCTAAGCCACTAAATGCTGAGCCTCTTCCAGATCACATATCACAGGGGGACCCTGGATCAAAGCACCCCTTGGGGGAACACCACTTTGGGGGCTTTTCTCCCACTCACATCTCTCAGATTCCAACTTGTTCGTTCTCTAGGAGAGATACTAGCCCTACCCCAAAACCTCTCCAACCTCTGGATGGTGCTGGATTTGCCACATCCTACGAGGCCAGGAGCCAAGAAAAGCAGCTCAGGTTTGGTAGGCATACTGGTTCTCTGTCCTTTGCCTTTGCCCAAAAATCACAAAAAAAAAAAAAAAAAAAAAAAAAATTATGGTCTCACAGCAGGCACAGCATCTTGTTTCTTTTAAAAAATAAATATTTATAAACTTAGGGAAGAAGATTCAAAGAATCAGATTATCTTTCCCTCCAAATGCACAAATGTTCCAAATGAGTCAAACCAAGACAAGGCTATCATCCCATGAATGAAATACCACCACCTCCCCAGGGGCTCTGCCTTTAGGGGTAAGGGAGCTGATCTCTGGCTGCAGTCCCCATTAGTCCCCCTTGGTGATCAGGTCCTCAATGTAGGCATCCAGCTCGTCATCTGTGTTGATGTCAATGTCCTGGAATAGAAAGCAGCAGAATCAGCTAGGGGATCAAAAGGCAGTGGGAGGCCCACCTCACCACCCTTTTTGCAGCCCATGGGGACTGAACCCAGAGTCACTCTACTTCCCTCCCATCCACCTCCCCTCATGTAAGGGATGTCCCATCTTGATCATGCGCCCCTTCCCCATCCTCTGTGCACAGATGACGCCCAGATTTCTTTCTCTTGCCCTACCTTGACCCAAGTTCCAGTTGCCTTACATGTACTCAGGCTTCTCAGATTCAATATGCATTCAGAACAGCTTACCCACCCCACCCCATCGCACCCCTCCCCAGATTGTTCCCATCTCAATACAGGCCACCCCTTCTCCTTCCCCAGGGATTCAAGACAAACCAGAAAAATCACATTTTCTTCTTTCCCTCAATTACTGCAAGTCTTTCCACTTCTCTCCCTGTCAGCACTCAAGGTTCAGGTTACCAGAATATCTCACTCCAGGCAACTGTGGAGCTTCCTCACTAGTGTCCCAAGTTCTAACCTCTTATCTTCGCCAGGTCCTCCAACATCACCCACAGTAAATATCTTAGATCGCAAGGTGGATCACGCAGACCCTTCCAGTAACTTCTCACCTGGAATAGGACCTTTTCTCCCATTATCACCCACAATTACCCACATGAGACATGGACCTTCCTCTTCCCTCTGACCAAAATTCTTATAATTATCTTGCATGTTTGGTTCTGCTCTCACTTCAAATAGCTCCTCAGACAGACTTGCCCTGAATACCCTAGAACAGTGGCCTTCCTGTTTTCCTTATCTCCTATTACTTCATGGCACTTCCCACCTTCAATAACTGTCTCTTCACAGAACTGTCGGGCTGTGAGAACCAGGGAACTTATCTCACTTGTCTAGTTCACCTGGTATCCACAGGACAAGCACAGAGCAAGCCCTCAATGTTTACTACCTGATGAAAAACTGAGACCCTATGGGGAACTACCAGCTTCTGGGTTACCCAATTCCATCTGGGCGTCATCTGGAAAAGTGAGAACTTCTGTTTTATGGCTTGGAGGGCTCTCAAACCAGATTGTACATGAAAATATCTAAACAAGGGCAAAAGTCTGATACCGTGGGTCTGGCTGGGATGAGGCCCAGGCAGCCGCACCACCTCCAGCCCTCCTGGTCAGGATGCTGTGCAGCCAGAGTTGGAACCACAGATTCCTGTGAGTGGGGAGAAGGGAACAGGAGGTGCCCAGGCCCCCTCCCTGAGACACCAGGTGGTCCAGCTGCAATGAGAGGGCTGCCTGGCTCACCTCCTGCACCTTTTGCAGGAGCGCCACGATGTTGGTCCTCAGCTTCTGCAGCTTCTCCTCTGTCTCACGGAGCTTTCTCTCAGAGGTGCGCAGGCTTTCCTCAGAGGCCTTGGCTCGTGAGTCGGCACGGCTCTGGTAGGAATGGCACAGATTCTGGAGCCCCACTTCATACTGCTTAAAGTACTCTTTCTGTAGGGAGAGAGCCAGAAAGTGAGTATATGAACTATTGAAGGTTAATGCTACAGCCCTTCTACATGGCATTAGTGCCCCAAACTAGCTGGGCAAAAAGACAATTGATCTGAAGGTCTGCCAGACCCAAGGAGCAAGTAGTATCTCTGGCTCCAGAATAGAGAGATCTTGATGCCAATTTCGTGGGACTGCCATGAAAACAAAAATGGGAGCACACACAAATGAAGCACCCAGCAAACAGCTTTGGCAAACAGAATCTCAGTGTAAAAATATGTTGGGTATCACTAGTAATAAGGGAGATGCAAATTAAAACCACAATGAGATACCACCTCACCCCAGTGAGAATGTAACATCTTCAAACAACTAGCAACAACAAATGTGGGCGAGGATGTGGAGAAAAAGGAACTCTCCTGCACTGCTGGTAGGAATGCAAACTAGTGCAACCACTATGGAAAGCTGTTTGGAGGTTCCTCAAACTGCTAAACATGGAGTTTCCATATGACCCAGCAATCCCACTCCTAGGTATCTACCCAAACTACACAAAAACAGTGATTCAAAAAGATACCTGCACCCCCATGTTTATTGCTGTTTTATTTACAATTGGAAAGACATGGAAACAACCCAAATGCCCGCAAGTACATGATTGGATTAAAAAGATGTGGTGCATATATACAATGGAATATTACTCAGCGATCAAAAAAAATAAACACGTGCCTTTTGTAGCAACATGGATGGAGCTGGAAAAGATCATGCTTAGTGAGATAAGCCAGAAAGAAAAGGAAAAATAACCAGATAATTTCAGGATAATAGCAGGAGTATAACGGACTAGGCAAGAAAATAACAATAACAATGAACAGCGACATTTTAGGGGGGTGGAGTGGGGAATGGGATCAAAAACAAGTGGGGAGAGAAAAATGCACTGGACTATGGTGATGGCACATGGGTGATTTGGTGATGGGAAACCCATGGGGATTACAACTGAGATGGAAAAATGCACAAAATGATGTAAAAATAAACATTATTTATTTAAAATTTAAAAAATATGTTGGGTAGTATCTCTATAGGTTTAATCTATTTTCTAAATTTAAATTTATAACATGATTTACTCATAAATCATCAATGAAAATGGTAAGGCCATTTCATAGAACAGGAATCCACAACAGGCAGGTACTGGCTGACCATTACAGACTTACCAACTTTGGCATTTATTTTCTATAAAGATGTATGAGATACTTAGTACCAAGTGACTCTTGACTGCGGTCTCTAAGAAGTGCTTCTGGCAAGGGTTTAACTATGTCATTCACTTTAGAACCTAAATTATTCCCCTATTAAACCAAGATATCAAGAGAAACTTCACACACTGCACAAAAAAAAATTTCCATGGCAATATTGAATAAATATTTGGCAGGCTCCGAAGTACTGAAATTCTACATACATCTTTATTCACATGCAGTAGTTGTATTAATATATATTTTTCATTTAACCCAGTATTTTCAAAATCCCTAAAGGCTATAGAATTCCTTGTCCAGCAGAATACAAAAAAGGGCCACCATTTACAGAATTAACATTAATGTCTCTGACATTAAATAATTAAAACGAGTTACTTTAGATGTTACAATTATTATAAAATTGACACATTAGTGGTATAATTCCATTAGGAAAATAAGCTAAGACGCTACTTCTCATTATATTTTGGTCTGAGCAGTTCAGTCCATGCACTCAGGCTTCACTCTGAGTCTGGCAACAACAGTAAGTGAAAAACAATACCAGGCTGACCTAGCCATGAGCCATTTACTTCTGGGATCTGCAGAGCATATTTACAGCCTAAATGAGGACAAGCTTTTATCAGTATAGTTGTCACAAGATACTTTGTCCTGTATCTTGAACATACACGCTAGTGCACAGTTTTCACTTCTAACTCTCTTCTCTAGAAATTGACCCCTAGCTATTCTAACTATAAACCCCCACTTGACGTGGATGGCTCCTAGATTCATCTCCTGCCCTAGCTTTCACACCCTCTCCACATGCCAGTCTCTACCTGCCAACTGGACATCACCAGAAATGTAGTGCCAATACTTCCAGTCCTACATAGCAAATCACAAATCATCTTCCTTACTCTCACCCCATTTTCTCTCTCAGTCAACAGCTTTGTGAACAACCCCAATTCTCACAGGGCCCAAAATTGAGAATTCTCACTTGCTACTTGAAAGCAGGGCTCTCTTGGATGCTTACCACTGAGGTCCGAAAGAGGCTCAAGTTCAGGGGAAGCATCACATATCAGAATTTTTTGGGTTAAATAAAACCTAGTGCTTGCTTCTATGCATATGAGCTTCTCTACAACTTTCTAATAGTAGGCAATCTGAGTCTAAGCTTTTCACTGTTGCTGGGACAGATTTTATTCTCTCTGCTGAGACACAGGAAAAAGGATGTATTCATTATAAAATGTCAGTTTAAGGGCCCTCCCTGGTGGCGCAGTGGGTTAAAGCACTGCACTAAGAAACTTAAGCCACTTCCGCATAAGTTCGATCCCCGCCTGCCCGGGAGAAGATCTACATGGCACAGCAGACCTCTCCTGACCCGCCCGCTGCTCCCCTCAGCAGTGTACTTTGTCGATCTGCCTGTTCTGCTCCCCACTCTGTCTCTGGTGAATCCTCTCACCCTCTGCATCTCTGGCCTGTACACCAGTTCTGTATGAATAAATAAATCTATCTTAAAAAAAAAAATGTCAGTTTAAAATGCTGTCCCTAAGTGACAGCTCAGCCCCAGCATCTTATGGCTTTCTATATACCAAAGTCATGTCCAACCAAGCCACTTCTTTTTCCACATCAAGTTTGTTCTTTCCTTCTCTAAGCAGAAGAGAAGCTGGCTTGGGAGTAGAGTTGGACATGGCTGAAAACTGACTATCACATCACCAGAGGGGGCTTGCAGAGTACAAAATCAAAGTTCAGACCAGACTCACCAGAGGAAATGATATTAGCTCATCTGAATTCATAGCGCTCAGCTCCTTTTTGGAGATGGGGAAACTTGGAGGCAGGAAATAACGTAAACAATTCCTAAACAAGAAAGAAGGTGGGCTCAGGAGTGCCGAATGATGTGAAAGGAGTGGCCAGATACTGCCAATCTCACAGTGGGAAGACACGCACCGGAGGATCTGGACGAGCAGGTCAATGGTCTCATGGTTGGTGCTCGGGGCAGTGGTGTCAGGCTCGATGCGAATGCAGTCAGAAGTGGAGGGCTCTGCCATGGCCACAGCCTGCTGGGCCACCACTGCCTCCTCCCCACCACCCTCCTGCTGTGTGTCAGGGGTCTGGTGCTCCGGAGAAGGGGGTTTCATCAGCCGTACATCCTCGCTGCCTTTCTCCACCCTAAGGACGACACAGGGCATGTGTCTTGTGTCCTGGGCTCCCAGGATGGGCTGCCTGCAGAGGAAGGTCAGGGACACTGCCTCCCCCTGCCCTAGCCAGCTCTATCAACCTCTTGGAAGGGGCATTACCAGCGGTCTCTTGGTGTTGTGTCTGTGGGCACGTAGTCAAACTTCACCTTCCACCTCACCACATGCTTGCCCACCTCCACAGCTGTGACACGACCGGTGTACCACTCCCTGTTCACACGCACCTCCACATGCAGTCCTTTATCTGAAAATGGGGATAGGGTCCTAGTCAGGAAACTACAGTTCCCTGACTACTGACTCAGCAAGAACCAGACCCGACCTAGGGTTCACAGGGACAAAAACCCCTAAGTGCTTGCCCCTACTATGCCAGGGACATGGACCCCGGGCACCCTGGTCTCCTTTCCCATCTGTAACAAGGGTGCTAAAGAGTAAAAGGATGAGTAACCAGAGAAAAATGCCAAGGAATCAATGCTAAAAATAAGCGTAAGTGTCTTATCTTCAGAATTTTCACTGGATTGGATCTGAAACCACTATTGCAATATTAGATCTGAAACCCAGAGCCCAAGAAGATTTCAGGATGAAATGCTGCTGGCCAGGGGACCTCACTTTCCACTGTGCACAGGCTGTCTGGTACCTCCCCCAATCTCACCTTTCTGAGCCCTCTTGAGGTCAGCTGGGTCTTCTTCCCCAGCACTGTCCGAGAGCTGCAAGGAAATAGATTCTGTTAGAGATATCTCCAGTGTGGCCCAAAAGTATATGGTTGTGTGAGTGACCACGAAGGGCCATCTGCTGTCACCTCATGTTGTCTTAGGTGTCAGTTTAAGTCACCATGCCTCCCTGACCACCACTCTCTTATCACCATCCTCAGGTAGTGTATCTACCCTTTTGTCACTATCATAAACAAAACAGCAAGTAAGGGCAGAATGTTGTTAAGTGGACAATAAGGGGTTTCAGGGCCTCCCTGATCTGTCAGTGTGACCCTGTGACTGTGATTAGAGTGAGAAGCCAGTCAGTCTCACAGAAGAGTCTGAAAAGAGTACCTGGAGCCATACTGTGTGATTAAGAGTGCTTCCAGGATGAACTGGGCCTCAAGTCACAGAACACAAACAGAGCTGATGGCAGATGGAGAACCTAGAGAGGGAAGCTGAGAACCTCATCACCACTACCTACCTCATTTGAGTCCTTCTTTTCCTCCTTCACAGTAAACTTGCCCCGCTTGGATCTTTCCTTCCTCCTCTCACCCTCTTCCTCAGCTTCTTCCTCATCAGAGACCCCAAGAGTTCGCTTACGACCAGGAGTAACCTAGAACCAGGAAAGAAAATATAAGGGGTTACTAGTAGCGCTTGACATGCAGGAAGCATCTACATGGTCCACAGAAGTTTCGGAAAGAACTTAAATATTCCCAAGTCCCCTTCAGGAACAAGTCCTATCTGATATTACTCAGTATACAGCAACCTCCTGGCCCCTATGTCCATGAGGACGTTTACTGAAAACCGACACAGGAGAAGCTTTCCCTGTCAGCCTACCATCTAGCCAGCTATGGCCACCATGAGACATGTTAACCAGTGTCACAGCCATCCAAGACTGTCACAAGGCCAACGACTTAACACTACAGCATGAGAAGCCAACAGAGGCAACTTAAAACATAGGAGCAATGAAGAGCTCTCTGGACAGGAAACCAATTCCCTTTACAACCCTAGCCAAGTTCTTTCCATTATATAGACTCAATCTTCTCACTGATTGCAGGGAATCTTTAGATTCCATAATCTCCACTGAAGATCCCACAGTATAGCTTTGACACTGTTCAATTCCATTTTACACCATTGAGAATGGGCTAGAGGCTGGAGGAAAAAAACATTTTACCAGAGGTGGTTTACTGGGTGGCTCTGTCTTCTTGACCACTGGAGTCTTGATGGCTCTGGGGGCAGGGACCTCCCGAGGACTTTTGGAATTGGGTAGTGGAGATGGTGACAGAGGTTGCACCACAGAGGCAGGCCGAGGTGGTGTCTTAACTGCTGTATTAGCAGGCTTACGGGGTATCTCAGGTGGCTGGAGCAGCCTGGAAGTACTGGCCTCTTCCCGGGATGCCAGGACAGGGGGCTTAGGGGTACTGCTGATAGCAGGAGCTTTTCGGGGTTGGTTGGTTGGCCTAGGAGTGTGCAGAGAAGGGGGTCTGCTTGGGGCATTCTTGATCACAGCAGGTAATGGAGGTGACCGAGGTCGCTGAGGTCTACGTGCTGGTTCCTAAAAGAGGCCCAGAGATAGTAAAAAACTGATCCTAGCTTGAGACAACGAAAGAAAAGCCCCTCCCTGTCCCTGGGCTTTACCTCTGTGGAAGGTCTGGTGGTCACTTCCAAAGGTAATTTCTTCAGGTCAGCTTGGGAGCGGATGGGTGTGGTTTTCTGCAAGGCAAACACAATTGTGAGGTTTGTTTGCTCATCTTGTTACACTTAAGCAAACTTTTTCACATTACCACTATGTGTCTGGAAGAGTGAGTGCATAAAAAGTAGGGAATTGGTCCAAAGTCCAGCTGTTGTGTATTTCCTATTTTCACTGGGGAGACAAAAAGTATAGTCAGTCTTGAATGCTGCCTGCATAAGTACAAGCCTAACACATGATGGAGAATGACGCAGGCTTACCTGAGACAAGCCATCTGAAGGAAGCTGTTTAAGCTCTGCTGCTCTGGAGACTACTGGGAACTATCAGCTCTAACCCGGTTCTATCAGTGGTTTATAATTATGAAAATCCTAGAAACATGGGTTCCCTTGACATCTAAAAATGCTGACTTGGGGCCCTCCATGATGGCACAAGGGTTTAAAGCACAGCACTATGAAGCTATTTGCAGCCACTGCAGCACAAATTCGACCCCAGGCCAGGGAGGTGACCTGCATGCCATAGCAGACTTCTCCTGACCCGCCCACTGCTCCCCTCAGTATGTCTGCCTGTTTTGCTCCCCACTCTGTCTCTGGTAAATTCTCTCGCCCGCTGAACCTCTGGCATGTACCCCGGTTCTTGTATACATAAATCAATCAATCTTAAAAAAATAAAATACTGGCTTGGTGTGGCTCCAGCATGCGACATGATGAAATTACAGTCTAGTAAATGAAAAGAGAAGATTATGGATGCAAGGTTTAAAACACCTGGTTTCTGGCTCTGCAATGGAAAGAGAAGATGGTAGAGGAAGCCTTGACCATCAAAAGAACAGATCTTGCCAAGGGACTGTGTCTTTTTCCTGTGAAAGTGCACTGGTCCAAGCTGGCTAAAGAGGCAATCAAAGCCACTGTGGCTGAATGCAAACAGCAACAAGACCCAAGAAAGGAGAGGTGGAGAAGAAATGAGCCTATGAGGAAGGCCCTAACAGTTCACATGCTATTTATCTGCTGTGCAAGTACAGATGTTCAGAGGCTCTTCATGCTATTAAAAAAAAAAAAAAAAAAGTCCATCACACTACGAGATGTCCACATTTGCTACTCAAATCATGGTTCTGATGCAAGCAAAATACAAAGTCTTGTCTTTCTGAATCCTATGGTTTCGTTCAGCCAGCTTCTATTGTCTTAGCCCAGTTCACCATATTTTGAGTTGCGGGGTCTCAAAACTGAAATGAGTAATGTCTCAAAAGTTTTCAGTCTATAAGAATAAAGATATTTAATTCTACCAGGATCTATTTTAGGTAGATTAAACAGGACAACTCAGAATGAGTTGACAGAAATAGTCACTGCACATAAAGTAGACCTGCACGTTAAGACTATAAGAGAAAAAATACACAGACCAGCAGCAAATTATGGAACTATGCAGCTAACCCAGCAACTGGGACACTGGGAAAAAGTGTCAGTGAACTAAATTCCCATATACAAAGAACCAATAAAAAAAATAGTAAGTACTGGCCCTCCGTGGTGACGCAGCAGGTTAAAGCACAGCACTGAGAAGCTAAAGACAGGTCGGCATGAGTTCGATTCCCGCCTGCCCCGGAGGTGACACATGGCGTAGCAGATCTCTCCTGACCCACCCACTGCTCCCCTCAGCAGTGTACTTCCTCAATCTGCCTGTTCTGCTCCCCACTCTGTCTCTGGTGAAGACTCTGACCACCCCTGAACCTCTGGCCTGTACCCCAGTTCTGTATGTATAAATAAATCTTTTTTTTTAAAAAAAAAAAAGTACTGATGTGTTAGGACAGAAAGAACAGGTTGGATTCAGGACAACGAGTCATATCTAAGATATTCCCAGACAAGGAAAAGCTTCTGTAATAAAAACAACTGGCTGATACAGAAATGTGTAAGACATTTATTTTCTATAATTTTAAGACATTCTACATGAATTGGACTTCATAACATATATAAACAAAAATTTTTTTGTTCAAGGCATACTACACAATCACTGTACCTGAAGTTGGGACTGAAAAAGCTCTTGACCACATACATAGGAAGTGGAGAGCATGGGTGAACAGGGGAGCCACTAAGGGTTGCTGTTTCACCGTGGGACACCCCATTCTACTGACACAGGCTGACTCTGCCTGCCATTCGTAACTCACACACCTGAAGGGCCTCCAGCTTTTCCTGCTGCTGGCGAATTTTCTCTGTCAGCTGCTTCTGCTTCTCTTCCTGTGTCTTCAGGTCCTTTTTGAATGTCCCCAGGGGAACCTTCTGCTTCTGTTCAGAAGCCTCACACCTATACAGAGAAGATGCCAGGGATGTTGTGGCAAAACAGCGCACCAGGTAAGCAGGGTACTTCTTCCTTAGCCAACCATGCTGTCTCTCACCAGAGCAACCACCTCAGAGTTCTTCAAGTGCACTGAACTAATACTCACTGCAAGGCACAGCCCATCCTTATTTCCAGGGCACTTATTATGTGCATCAAGACAGAGATGTTAAAGATGTGAACACTGACCTCAAGAATTATGAGTTATTTACCCCAAAAGAGGAGAGAATATGGGTGTGTGGGAGTGGCACCCACAATCTCATGAGAAAGTGCTCACCGGTCCTGCTCAGGATCAGGGTTCATGGAGCAAACCCAGGTGTCAGGATAATCTTTTTCCACACTACTCAGCTGGAAGGGGAGGGTACGCCACTTCAGACACAAATCTGCAACACAGAAAATATCCCACCCAAGCATGAGCTATGCCCACCAACAATATCTATAAACGGGCTCCACCCAGTCAAGCCCAAGGTGAAGATGCGTCAGCCTTTCCATACAAGTGTCTTCACACTAGTTCCAACTCTGCTTTCCTTACAGAAAGTAATTCTTTTCAGAAAGTGATTGAAGCAAAGACAGAAACTAAATGGTGAGCTCTCAACACTCCTCTAGGCCCGGTCTCACTACCTCTTATATCAGACCCTGGCTCAGGCATCACTCACACTAAAAACATCATAGTATCAAACCAAGTAAGATCTGGCAGGTTAGATGACTTTCTGCCTCATGCAGGAGGAACAGGTAGATTTGGATCCCAAGAACGAGCTCAGAGCCAACTCCAAACACTCATATCCCTTGTTGAGACCCTAAGTTCCTAAAGTCAGTATGGCCAGGAGGCAGGCATGCAGATGGAGAGAAGAGTGATGGACTACACTTGTAGAGGGGTCAGGTGGAGGTTCCCACCACTGACTCACCACATTGGATGGTGGTTGGGATTTCCATAGCTCTCCTGCGTTTGTAGCGAAGCTCACTGGATGGTGGCTGGTTCCAATTGGCAGAAAGGTAACCAAACTCATCCCAAAACTTGATGATTCCCCGCTGAGCTGGAAGGCAAATAAATACCCACATAGCACATTAAACACCAGTCTCTTGCTCCTCCTAGATTCACCCTTTTTAGGCAATGAGAGCATTCTAAGGCTGGAAGTGAAGAGAGGTAAGGGCCACCCCATTACCAATGGCAATGTCTTTCCAGTACTGTGCCAAGTGTTCTCCCATCGCCCGGAGTAGATGCCTGTACTCCTTAGCATCAGCAAAGTCCTGCTTGTTGTGGGTAGGCTCCAACACCAGATACGGTACATCAACAACCCCAACAACCCCGCCACATGCCCTGAAGGGAGAGAGGAGACACAGTTCTGTCACCCAACTGTTCAGAGCTTCCTTGTCATCCACCCTGGGCTAGAAACCTCAACTTGGGCAGTACTCACATGCCCCCTTCCAGCTGTGGGCCCACTTTCTCATACATTTTGATCAACCGGCTACAATTGTAGATAAACATGCCATCCAGGTCCCGGTGTTCGATATTAACCCCAAAAACAAAATTCAGTTCTTTAGGTTCTTTAAGTGCTCTGAGGGGAAAAAAAAATTCAAGCAGATCTAGCAATTAGCACACAAGCATCATGGTGTTTAAGATGTGTTAAATTTAAGCTTAAACTGAGGCAAAATTAACAAAAGTTGTGCATTTCCATTCAGTATATATAACCTGTTGGACTTGATAAGTATGTGCCAAGCAGCAACTCTAAGCATCCCTAATTAAATGTATATAACTCGGCTGGCTTTTGATAATAAAACAAGGATGGATTTAAATCTGACTGGGATACACTGAAGCTGCTGCCAAGTCTTGAAAAGATAATTGCAAGGTGAAATAAACACAAGGTTTTCTGTGTACCATAATGTGACAGTAATCAATTTTAAAGACAAAGTTTACAAAAACAATGAACATGTAAAAGAAGAGGCCATTATGTAATAAATGTCAATAAAATAGTGGAAGCTGAAAAGTAGATGAATGAACAAAGGTTTGACTGATACAGAAGAAACCAGGAACCTACAGGCATTGAAGTAAGGCATCCAACAAGAAGCCAGCCCGGAACTCAAGGCCCAGCAACGAGGGTAGCTCCTGACATGAAGGCATGATACATATTTAATGACCTGGGCAAGACAAATGCCCTTTCCAGATATAGATGAGAGACTCCAGAACTCAATCTACAGCATTATTCCATATTTGCACAGTGAATGTAATTATTTGTTCTAATATATGAATATTCACACAGTAGATATCACCACATAGTAAAGATCTGAATTTTTATTTTAAATTTTCCAAATTTTTCAAGTTTTATAGAATGAAGAATTTTATACATCCTCCAAATGAAAAGAACAAGAAAATAGCAGAGAAAGGAAAGAAAAAATGAGATTATTGCCAGTAAAGGAAGTATGGTATTCAATTCAAGGCACTGATCTTGCCCTGCCACTTCCTGGCCTCAGGAAAAACCGAGTGTTCTGGGTAAGACTTCTCACAATAGTGGGCATTTCACAAGCATTTAGGATCACTTGAATGGTTCCCTCAAAGCAACCTTTCTAACAGGATGTCAACCTTTCAGAGTGGGAAGGGATTCTTCAACATCATTACTGTCAATAATAGATACAAAAGCTGCATAAGTTTTAGAGACAGAAGGTCAACTTCGGTACTCACCGCTGCTTGGCCTCTTTGATACGCTTCTTAACATCAGCTTCTCTGCGCAGGGTAATGGCTGTGTTTTGAACCTGTCGTAACATCACCTGGAAATGTACATCAGCACCAAGTGAAGAAGACTGTGCTCTGGACCACAACTTCACATCTGAAACTTGTCACTTAAAATCGCACAGGTGCAGAAACACACCTGAAGATTTCTTTTCTAACAGAAGAAAGGGCATAACTAGGCGCAAATTCAAAAGCTGTGTTTCACTAGCCCAGGTCTGATGACATAAAGGAGGAAACACCCCCAAATGAAACAACAGATCATTACAAAAGGATGTACTAGATTGTTGAAGCAGGAAGTTGCTTAGTCTGCTGAGTGCTGGAATGGAAAGTCCCCACGGGGTGCTGCTTGCTCACATCAGTAGCCACAGCTACCATGACCCCCTTCCCAAATAACAAGGAAAGCCTATGATAGAGGAGGTGACAAGCTTCGATACACAACCTGTATAAAGCCTTACCATTGGTGCAATTTGGGGCTCAGTCTTTTGGGAGCTATCCCACTAAGCCCACTAGTATGACAAATACATTTCTCTCTTTCCACCAATCTGAATGCCACCTAATTCTTTTGGTAAATTGCCATAACAAGAGGGACAGAGAACTACTCGGATAGCCCTACTATGTGTGTGACCTGAGGCAACTGATCCTCATCACTTCAAGATATCTTTCTATAAACTAAAATACAGTCCCTCTCATATGGTTGCTGAGATGATGAAATGATTAAGCAAGATTTTGGAAAAAACTATTTACCAATGATTATGGGAACATCATAACGTACCATTTGCAGCTTTAGGACAAAGGGTATACGACTAGCCTATGGCTAAGCCAGGTCAGTTTGAGATATTAATGCTAGAGAATGGCCAGAGAGGCCTAGGGCCATACCCTCGAGTCCCGTGTGAGGTCTCCACCTAGGCGTAGTTCTAATGTCCGAGCTTTGCTCTCCGCTTCTCGTGCCTTTTCTTCAGCTAAAACCCAGAAGAAACCGTGATAAGGAGCTCAAAGGTTCAGAATTCCTTAACCACCTCTCTTGAATCCCACAAAGCAATCTCTGATGGACAAGCATGTACACTGTCAAGGACAGGGGAGCGGGAAGAGCAACCTCCCTCCTTGGACAGCAATAAGTTCAAAAAACATTATCAAGAGATCCCCCCCAAAACAGGCACTATTATACCTGAAACATGCTTTTCAATTTTTACAAATGAATCAGAAGCAGTCAAAAATCACCCAAGGCAACCAGTTAAACCCTCAGCATGAGCTGGAAACTATCCAGTCCTCAGTTAATCACTTTCCATCAAGCGGCACAGTCAGTATGAAAATTTCTGCCCTAGATCAGGATCCAATTTCACAAATATATGGGTCAAAGTTCACTCCAGGCAAGTCTAAAAACTGAGACTGTTTTAGATAAGTCCCTAGAAATGGCTGAAGAGAAAATAGAATTTGGAGAGAAAAAGTGCTGAGCAGAACTGGTAACATAAAACTGTACAAAGAACTGGACCAGAGGTTCATGAGGACAATGCTGTTCCTAGGTTTTAGCTGTAGCTTAGGCAACAAGCAACAAACATCTCTCAGATAACCCTCATCCCAACCTTCCCTCCTGCACAGGGCGATGGGGGGTGGGGCTGGAGGGGCATTACCAATCCGGGCTACGTGCTCAGCTTTCTTCACCTCCTGCTCTGCACGGGTCTTGAAGCGGCTTGATGTGTACTTATACATCCTAAACAGGGGAAAAGCAACCTGTGGGTTGAAGTAGCAATGGGGGAGCACAACAACCTGTGCAGCTGAGAAACACCTTGCCTTGTTGCCTTCCTGCCTCCTTCCAAACTGCACTGCCCCACCCTAAGATAAGACAAAGGCAAGTTCAGCGATAAAACCCAATCACTCATTCCACTGGCCCTGACCTCCTGCTCCATCTTTGATAAGCAACCTTACTACTCCCCAAGTATCTCATTAATCACACAGCAGTAACACACCTCAGTCATCAGCAAGGGCCTTTGCTTCCCAGTAGTGTCTAAAGATTCCTGAAGCCAAGATGCTATGCTCAGTGTGTCAGTGGCACTCACACCCAGTAAGCTTTGCCAGCCTCCCTCCACAGACTGTCAGAAACCGTCCCTCCCTTGGGAACCTCGGTAAATCACAGCCAGCTTAAATGTCCAAACAAAGTCAACTTTATCAGAGCCTCTCAACCAGCATGCCTCAGGGAAATGTGGCCAGAGCCCTACCTGGGCTTGTACAGGCAGCAGGAGAGCCTCTTGGTTTGCACTTTGTGCCCATGGATGAAGATCCTCATTCGGGGATCGATATAGAGCACAGCAGCATAGGCACGGAACGAACGTCGCTCTGGCTTCCTAAAGGTGCAGGAAGGCAGGAATGCTGTCACCCATCCCCAAGTCTAACCATGGGTATGGGAGGACAACCTCCCTCAGGCCCTGCTCCTTTCCACTTCATCTCTCAGCTACTCTTGCCACTCTGAAGGTATGCTTCCTCAGTGTGGGGCACCACACCCTGGCCCCTCACTTCCCCAGCACAGGTAGATACCCCACAGTGACTGGGCTCTGTCACTGCCCAATGCAGAACCCAAGGACTCCACCCACCTCATTAGGCCTCAACTTTTTTTTTGCTAAATCAAGCAGTTGGAGCAAGGGCTCATTAGCCCTTTTGGCTTAGTTAAGGATCAGATTTATCCCTTCTCTGTTTAGAGCAAAAACATGTGGCATTCTCAACTGAATACTGGGAAATCAAGGGAATGAATTTTTTCCATCTCCCTCCTGAGTTCTGCCTCCCTGGCAAAATGAACACCAATTCTAGGGCTTTCTTTTCTTCCCAGCCAACTCACGTGCCCTCTGGAGAAGTCTCTGCCATTTGGATATCTCGTGGATTTGAGAGTATGTCTAACTCTGGTTCTCCATTATCCATGAGTTTGAGATTGAAAATGATCACCAGTGTTCCTGGAAACAGAAATCCTCCTTTTGTTTGCCAACACCCATAGACCAACCCTCCACTATGTCCCCACCCCATACCACTCATGGCTCCTGCATTCTAGGGACTTCAGGCTCAAATCCTACTCACCACTGTCCCCAGGAATCTTCATGAACTGGGTCATCACTTCTTCCTCATTGCGAAAGGGAGAATATTTATAAATGAGTTCTGTCTCAATAGCAAACTTATCCACATTGTCTGTGACAGGATCCCGGGTCCGAGCATGCCAGGTGGGCAATGGTACTATCACCTTAGGAGCAAGCACAGGCAGGCACTTTGAGGGAGGTCCCAGAAGAATATTCTGCCAAAATGTACCTCCATCTTGTCCCTCCGCACAGCCCCAGAGACTGGATCCAAGCTCTGCAGCTGGGAACCAGAGGCTCTGTGGCTTCTGCCCCTTCCCCAAACAGCCTCACATTGCTAATGTTTATGCCCTGAGGATCTCTCTGCATGGATTAATTCCTTGCTTGGGATGTCCCTGGCCATATTACTAATTTGGTAATAATAACACTAGTAATTCTCCACTAAGGAGAATTTATTTGCAATTATCTGATAAATCTTAAGATATACACAAATATAATTATAACTCAGCAATTCCACTCCAAGGTATATAGACTGGAAGAAACATCTGTACACATGTACCAGAAAATATATGTAAGAGTAACACAAATATCCACTACAGAGTAAACACATTAAATTATATTTATACAATGGAACACTAAGCAGTGACGAAAATAAACTAATAGCTACTAACATAGTTTACAATGGAAGAATCTCACAAATACATTAAATAAGAAAAGCAAAATACAAAGAAAAATAATAAAACAATTCTATAGTAAAATCCATTTACATAAAATTCACAAATGAACAAAATTAAACTATTCAAGAGTTACACAAATGTGTCAAACTATAAACAAAACAAGGAAATGATCATAACAAAAAATTACCTGAAGGTGGTTCCTCCAGGGGTGCAATGAGGAATTTGACCAATGAGGAGCGTACTGGGGACTTCTATGATGGTGGCTACATGGGTGTTTATAATTACTCTCTCAAGTGTACATATATTTTAAAGCACTATTACATACTTAGTCTTTTATAACTAACAATATTTTCAAAAATTCTACCACTGAGGTACTACTTGTACCTCAATGAAGCTGGCAGGTGGGGGGAAATCCTTCACAAACTGTATCTCAAATGCCACTTCCCCAAAGAATTCAATGTCCTTTTCCTCATGCCCTGAGCCAGAGGCTCTCAGAGCCCTGCAGATGGTAAAGAAGAACCTCTGTACAGAAAACCAACTGAGGCACTTCAGATATTCAGGAAAAAGTATTTTGTATTTTAACAACTGTGAAGATGATGAAGAGTTGAGACATTTTACTGGTTTCTAAGGAAATTCATGTCTATAGTATTCAACCCTAGGGCTAGTTTGGACACATTCCTCCCCAGCTGAAAATGATCTTATTTTGAAATCTTGGCTGAGTTTACACTGGAGTATAATCCAAAACAGTGACCTTCCGAACCAAGTATGGAAAAAACTTCAACCTAGCTTTATCACCAAGGGAACTGAGTTCCATTTGTGTTCTGTGAACTTATACCTCACGCTGAACCTCTCATTCTTCACCACCATCCTAAGGTGACAGTGGCAGTACTTTAAACCATGGTCTGCTCCCATCAGGGCCACTCCTGCATTAAAGCACTTCTCCTTTAGAGTCAATGCCACACCTCTTCTGGTTTTCCTCCTATACGTCTGGTACTTTATCTCCTTCACCACTTTTTCCTCTCCCAACCTTTAATTGCTGGAATACCTGGGGTCCCATATCCTCTTCTCACTGTACTCACTCCTTTAGGTGAGCTCATTTACTACGCCAATAATCCCAGAGCCCAGACCTCTTCCAAGCTCCAGATCCAGACTTCAGGTCAGAACAAAATTTACTCTTCCCTCCAAACTCCTTTTCATTCTTCTCTGGCTCCAGAGAGTCATATACCCAGGAACTGTGCATAATTCATTGATCAAGAACCAAATTTGTGGATCCAGATCCAGAGATGACTCCCTCAATTTCTCTCACCTTCCTTCTGAGTCCCCCTAGACTACAAACAGCCAGGGCCTCTCCACTGGTCTACTAAGACCCAGTCTTCCCAAACCAATCACTACACAATAACCAAGTGGATCTGTTTACAAAGAATCTGATGTCACATCCTTGCTTAAATTTCCTTTAAGTTTCACTTTTAATATAAAAGTGTTAATTGCACGAAGGCCTTAGGGTCAAGTCTAACCTGTCTCTCCCTGCCAAGACTCCACAAAGTCCTTTCCTACTGCCTTACCAGGATCTTCCTACTGCCTCAGGATCTTGAAGAGACTATTTCTATTGACTTGAACACCCCCTCCTGCCACCTTTAGCCTATCAGGAAACATTTCTGAATAGCCCACTTGGGCTGAGTTCTCCTGCCCTATTTCTTCCCAGGAGCCTACCCTACTCAGCTGCAGAAGTTCTTTCCCTACAAAAACACTGACTAAACTGATACACTGAACCAGAAAGGCAAACAAAACTTGTTAAGGAAAGACAGCAGAAAAAGACAGTCCCCCATTCCCAGCATGAACTAATTCGCAGTGATACAGGCTCACATCAGCTGGTACAAATTGATCACAATTAAGCAACAGATGAATCAAAACTCTGAATTCAATCATCTGCTTCTGTGACTAGTGTGGATCTCTCTCTACACACCCTCAGAGTCCCTCCCTCATGTTCCTTCATTTCTCACACATAAATGGAAAAGTTCAGTCTGAGGATGGGCAGACTAAGACCTTCCCTCCCAAAAGTGGCCATAAACCTCATCATACTAATTCTGGAAATAACTAAGCTATCAGTCCACAAAGGTAACCATCTGTCCATACAGTTCATTTAAACGGTTAATTACCAACTGTTTTAAAATTGTAATATTCTCAGTTCATTAGGCCTTCCTTCTAGCATAGCAATAATCCTGAACTGAGTATCAGCTGTCATTTAATTACAAGTTTACAACGATGTTTTCCATCTGATCACCTGTTTTCCTCCTGCCTGGGGTCTTGTAGATATATGACTTGTAGCTTCTTGTACAGACAGTTAGAATAACATATTTCCTCAAAGAGAAAATGCAGTCATAGCACATTCCACAAAATCACCATAATATGGGAAACACAATGTTGTTCCTATTATTATTGCCAGCTGTGGTCTCCACCCATAGTCAAGGAGGCCCAAAATACTTCTGATAAAATAACTTTCCATGGTGACACCCCCAAACCCCAGACTAAATTCAAGCTATAGCTCCAGGGGAGCTACAAAGCCAGTTCTTAGTTTCTGTTAGTTATGGTCTCATTCTCAGAAACAAGAAAACTATGAAGTGCGTTTGAGATTTCCTCTCACATTAAGAAATCTGCATCAACCAATTCAGACCCAGGAAATGTGCAACAGTGACTCAGATCACAGAAATGGAATTTACTTCATCAATGCCTTCCTCCTCATGAAAGGTACGCGACAGAAAGAGACAGGTCATGGTGTCGTCCTTCTTGGTGAAGAGGATGAAATCCTTCCCAATGCGCATTGAGCCCCTGAGAGGAAAGCAGAATAGGTTATTTTCATAGGGATTCAGAAGTTCATCTGGAAAAGGAACAATTGCACCCTCTAAATGTGACAAAAATTTCCTTTGGGGAATACCCTAAAGGCCTCCCTATGTCTCAGGATCCTCAGCTGAGTTCCATAGCCCTCTTAATTGACTCTCTTCCCTCTGCTCCTCCGTGGGCCTCAGTCCTTCCTTACAACCTTCTTAACCACACTATCCACCACATGGAGCTGTCACCACCCTTCTAGGGCACATGTACCACCTATCTCCAGCCCAGGTTAGTCTCATTGTCTGTTGCCCACAGTGTAACAAGTTAACTCTGCAGCCTGTGCTCTGGGCTCACCCCAGCTGTATGGATTACCCTAACAGTACCACCATTAGATTTCACTCCAGTGATGCCTTCAAAACATCACTTTCCACACTAACTATATTTCCAGTTCCCATCCTGTCCTTTTTTCACCAATAAAAATTCCTTCACCTGCCCTCTCATCAAAAGGCAGCACTGTAAAGGGACCTATGCTCACCAAAAAAAAAAAAAAAAGTACAAACACAAATCTCAGCCAAACTTTGGGACTAATCATACAAAATAAAATTCTTAATCATAACTTTTATTAGTAGGCAGTATGAGGGGCAACCCAAAGCCTCCAATTTCAAAGAGGCCTATCTAATTAGCTCACATCCTCTAACTCAGCCATTTTTTCTCTCAAACTATTTATACTTCAGGTTCATTATGATACAAGCACATCCTTGTTTTTGAATATAAAAGGGATTTCTGGGAAATGTACCTCAAGGCTGACTTCCACAAATCAAAAGTCTGAATGAATCAAATGCATCCTTCCTGTCTGGTCACAGCTAAGCCTTCCTTCTGAGAATCAGGCAAGAATGGGCCTTTCCAGAGAGCACGAAGCACCAATGAAAGCCTGCCCACTGAACAACGAATGGAGCTGCTTAGCTCTTTTCTTCTGAGCTTCTGGGGCTTTATGGCTATTATCTCATTAGTCCTTGTAATAGCCCATGGAGGTGATGGCATTGAGAAATTTGGTCTGTGCACAAATACAAACCAAAAAGGAATGTCAAATAAATGCCATGTCCTATTTCCCCATGTTCAGGAAAACTCCCAGCATACTCTCCAGAGACACCCTGAGGTCTGCCAAGTCTTGTTTCTCCTCGTCTACTTCCCAAGGTGCTGGCAATGCTCCTTCTCCTGACAATTTCACAGTCTTCCACTTTCCTCCCTGAATGTTATGGGTAGCAAAACAAGATAATCTTGTTATCTTGCCTTCTGTCAAAACTTACTCTTGCCCTCGTCTGGAACACACGTTCATGTTGTGCCTCTTTCTTTTTGTCTTTAATCCTGACCTCCAACACTCAATAGCAACAAATGAAAAACACCACCTCTCTCAGCTGTTTTCCTCTCTCAGCTGCTCTGTAGCCCTATTCTCCCTACCAACAGTTTTCTCTTGGAGCTCTTCCAACTTCTGCATTCATTTCAAGATGATTATACTCTGAACACTAGATGGCTCCATCTCAACCAGTGCTTTACAAAAAGCATTTTGTTGAAGTATATTAGTTAACACTCCTGTATCCTTCCCCATCTTCTAAGCATTTTTAGAGTTTTACTTCAAACCCTCTGTGAGAGATTAGAACCCCCTTTTCTAGCTTAGGAAATGTACATTCAAAGAGGTGAAATGGCTTGCCTGAGCCACAGAATTGATAAAACCAAGTAGAAGTAGAAGGCCTTACAACCCAAATAGGAAATCAGTTTCTTACCTCACACTAACTGAAGGAGACCTCAATTATTGAAGACTGAGATCACCTGCACCAGAATTTATCTGGGGAAACCTATAAAAAACACAGAATTCCTAGGGCCTATTCCAAACTCACTGAATTAGAACAAGAATCTACCACAGAAAGATCAAAGAAGTAAGTCAGAAACCAGAGTTCTGACAGCCATAGAGCATTTATTCCTTAATCTACTTGGCATGTATTACATTTCCAATTCACAAAAGAAGAAGCTAAACTAAGGTTTCAGGAACTAACAAAGTAGAGATTTGAACTTTAATTTGTCTGACTCAAATGAGAGGGGCAACAGTTCCAACTCTACAATCAGAATAATTTGGGGTTCATGCGTCAGCTCCAGATTTGGGCATTTTTACACCTTAGTCATTTCACCCCAATAATCCTCAATTATTCTCCCAAGTATGTTAACTGACGTAAAGTTGGTTTACATCATTTTACTTGTTTTAGGGGTTATAGGTTCAAACCTTTACAAATAAATGTTTGATACCATGACTACCTCCCAAGCCCCAACAATTCTCTACCATGTTCCACTGGGCTCCTTCCTCCCCAGCTCCCACCCTGCGTCTCCCCTTTCTGGTTCCTTCAGTTTTGTAGTCAGATGACAATAGTTTGTTAGTAAACCTCAATTTCTTCATCCTCAAATGAAAATAGCAATATTCATGCCTTACAGGGCTAGAGTGAGGATTAAATAAGATCATCAAACTGAAGTAAATTTTTAGCACAGTGCCTGACACATAAGTACTGTTCCTACCAATTCATTCTTGTCCTGTAGACAATCATAATACTCAGGTATTAGGTCCTTAAAGTTTTTGGAAAAACTCTTTCTTGCCCACACACCCAAAGCATTCCGCACATGAGGCGACACCATTAATTGCTGATGTTAACTACCAAACCACTTCCTTTGCTAAAAGAAAACTACATTTCCACAGCAAGATTGGAAACGACTCAGAATTCCATTTCTACAAACTCCAATTCCACTAAATCTTATTCCATTCAAAGGTATGTACAGCTGGAAGTGAGCATTTCAGAAATAGAAACCTTTCTCATGGGGCTTCACTAAAAACCACAACAACACATTCCAAACACCAAACAACTGGGAACCAAGGGCAAAGAAAGAAATCCCAAGAGAGCTGAAGACCTTAGGTAGGTCCCTGCTCCAGAGCTTAACAGGACATATGTATGGAGACCACATACAGGTCTCTTACTCACACTGGTCCCGGCGGCTGCCAAAAAGTGTGACATGTGGCAGGTGCTCAGGAAACACTGTTATGCTGTGAAAATACCCCTTTACCACCTCAATTCCAACACCACAACACAATCACTCAGTCCCTCAATCACAGGGTGAAAAAATAAAAATCTTCAATAGGAGAGGTACAATTTCAGAATACAGCGCCAATAGAAACCTATAGCACTCCCACCCTAATTGGTTTTAGACATTCATACTTTTGAATCTGCAAAGTAATTTAGGATAGAAAATAGCTGGTAAGCTCCCAAAGCACCTCCTTTTATCTTTCCTCCTGTATCAGACATACCATAAGAGGAGAAATGTTTTCACAAACAAAAGCAGGACAGCATCAGTTAATTTGTTTTGGGCTCCATGACAGGCTTCTAGTATACTTACGATTTTAGCCCATTCCCATACTGCCCAATCTGAGTGGACTCAGGTGTCCGTTTGGCTGACTTCCCAAACTGGATCACACTGGCAGCATCACCTAAAGTGTTGGGCATAACAGAAAATGAAAAATTTGCATTTCTTTTCCAGCCTCCTCAAAAACTAAATGTCTTCTTAAATCCATGTTAAAGCAGATCTGTTTAGCTACCTCTGCTCAAGGAAATTCACAAGCATGGGGCAAATGACGACCAGCCTCTAGGTACTGGCAGAACTATGATCTTGTTCTGTTACTAGAATACCATTAATAAGACTGGAGGAGACCACTGCCCCCAGGGTGTTGTACAAGCTAATAAATATAATGTTCAGAGACAAATATATTGGTTGATTTCTGATTGCCTATCTCCCATGCTAGGGTAAGACCCACTAAATACACCAGTGGAATTAAGCCTGTGATGCTGCAAGAGATACCTCTCTCCCCAGATGGATTTTTTAATGACAACAGTGAGGGATCAGAAAAATGTTACACAATAACAATTTTATAAAAATAATTACAACTCCCCAAAAGCAACACAATCATTTCAACACTTACTTGGATCCATTCCTGCTCCATCATCCAAAAAGCAAAGCATAAACCCTCCTCGAAGGTCATCTCGTCTTTCTGTAAAATAAAAGGAACTACCATTACTGGAGGAACTATTACCCACCAGGCAGTGGTAACATGGATATGATCAGAAGGTAAACAAGGTGAAGCTTGATTCAGAAAGGTCAGGTCACACCCAGTTTTTCCTTCTATTGAGTTAAACCTCAGGACCCTGATGGATGGGAATTTCCACCAAACGTTCTGCTTTTCAGTTCATGACAAAGCATGAGAGTATTTCTGAGAGTATCAGGGAAGACTCGACCCACATCTAATCACACCCATGCATAATACACATATATTTCACATATATATATATATATACACACATATATCACAATCATTATTCTGCCCTTCTCCACCTTTTATCTCTGCCCTCTACTGTGAACCACAAGCTATTAAAATACTCCAACAAGTGCTCAAATTCAAATGGAAACCTCCTCTGCGGATTAAGTCTGAGGTAGTTTTCACATAAAGTGATCAAACAACGCATGCTGTGGATACAGAGGAGGTAGCTGCTATCTAGAGGGGAACAAAGTAGCCTGGGGGTTAAGTCTCAGCACTATCACCACTGCAGTCTGAGGTCAATCTCCAACCAGGGAGCTGACCCACATATAGTGCAGCAAACCTCTCCTGTCTCACCCAACGTTCCCCTTAGCAGTGTATTTCAGTAGATCCAACCAGTTCTGCCCCCCACTCTATCTCTGGTGAATCCTCTCACCCCTTGTACCTTTGGTCCAGAACCCCAGTTCTCATATATGTAAATAAACAAAAATAAGTATTTTTTTAAAAACAGAAAGGACTACACAGCAGGTATACTGGGTATCTTCTGCAGCACCAAGTGGTTACTCAAGATTGCCTCGATACAAGCACGTCATGGGCAGTAGAGAAGAGACTCCCAAACAGGGAAGGAGAAATAGTGCTTTCCAGGGTGCCTTTTGTTAAGGGTCAAAGGTAAGCAAAGGAGGAACAATACAGGTCATGTAAGAGCACTTCTACTAAAAGGAGATCTGTGTAAGGTACTAAGGGACAAGCCCAAGGCTGCTTTGGAGTCTTGATCCTGAGGACTTACTAGTTTCCTCAAAGTTGTAGTTCACTAAGTTTATACAAATCTAAGCAAGCTCTGTCCTCCCCTCGGGCTAAAGATTCATGTGATCCATGAATCTGTTAAATGAACTAGTTACCTTCTATTAAATGAACTAGTTAATGTAATTTAAAATGCTATTTCAAAAGTACTATAAATCACAGAGATTTTCAAGTATCACTCGGTGTTCAGGAAACTGAACTTTGCTGGAACTTTAATAACAAGTGCTTCTTGAAAGTACAAGGGCAAGGATCTTCCCCGAAGTATTATTAGTAGATAAGAAAATTTCTCTTTGTGCCAGTGCATCTTAACAGAATCTGGAGAATCCAAATGAGATCTAGCAAGCAGGACTAAGTACAAGAAAATTGCAAAAGGGTTTCAAAGTTTCTATCTGGAGGATGTGTCACATGAAGACAAACTGAGTCAGGTAAATAATATGGTAAAAGGTTCTAATTCTAGCTAAGAGCTATTTGCTGTACACAACAGCCATAAAATGTACATGAAGATTCCACTTTAGACTAGAAGTTGATCTGAGCATTGACAAGTTCTCAAGAATTACCATCAATTCCTAGGTACTACCTAGGAACTACTTTTAGGGCCTAGTGTTAGAACAGGACTCACAAGTTTTAGAACACAATCATCCAATGAAATATTACTCTGTTCAAAAAAGATAAACACATGCCTTTTGCAGCAACTAGGACGGAGCTGGAAGGGATCATGCTTAGTGAAATAAGCCAGAAAGAAGAAGAAAAATAACAGATGGTTTCACTCATAGCAGAAGTATAAAGGATCAAGGGGGAAAAATAATAATGAACAAAACATCTTTACAAAATAATAGTTTATTTTTACATCATTTTGCATCTTTTTCCATCTCAGTTGTAATCCCCGTGGGCTTCCCATCACCAAATCACCAGTGTGCCATCACCATAGTCCAGAGCACTTCCCTCCCTCCACCGTTTTTGATCTCATTCCCCACTCCACCCCATAAAATGTCTCTGGTATATAGGTTCATTATTATTATTATTATTAACTCCCCTGGTCCTTTAAACTCCTGCTATGAGTAAAACCATCCTATATGAGACATTTTACAGGGGTGGAGTGGGGAATGGGATCAAAAATGGGGCGGGGCGAGTGCACTGGACTATCGTGATGGCACACAGGTGATTTGGTGACGGGAAGCACACGGGGATTACAACTGAGATGGAAAAAGGCACAAAATGATGTAAAAATAAACTATTATATTATTTTAAAAATAAAAATATAATCATCACATAACATTGGGTCCAGAATCACTTTCAGCTCAAGGACTTCATTTCAAAGCTTTTTCATGTGGTTTAAAGAGGGAGAACAGGGGAGAGTCCTGGCCACATAGTGACCTAAAGCCTGTCAACAACAAGCGGAATCTAGGTCCACGGTTACTGACTCAGGGCAAAAGCAAGACAAATTGACACAGAAAAAACTTCAGGTACTGGCATCATCAACTGGCATCATCAACTGGCAGAATGCTTATCCCAATCACTTGTTTACTTGATGAATATTTACTGACCATTTCCTGCATGTCTGGGTCTCTGATAATAGGCATAAATAAACTGCATTCATGAAGCTTACAGTCCAGACAATACTATCTGTAACAAGTCAGGTAACCAGGAAGATTTAAGCAGAATGAGTCTGAGATAGTTATGAACTAGAGCAAAATGTAGTGTGTAAGAAATCACCTGAAGAACTTGCTAAAATACAAATTCTGTACTCTATCCTGGGAGGTCTAACATTGGTCTGCAAATTTGCATTTCAAATAAACTCCCAGGTGATGCACTGATGGATTGCTACTATAAAGAACTGAGAGAGCAAACAAGAACCAGAAGGCTTCCCCGGTCAAAACTATTTCCCCAGACATTTTACCAGTGAAGAGATATAGTCCTAATACCTGATGATTACTTTAATCAGCCAAGGAGTGATATCCGAAGACCCCAAGAAAAGGATTTTAACAAAGGCGGGATGTTCTAGTACTGCCAACTCCTAGTTCCAGCTGCAGATTGTGTGCGTCCTTTCCATGACACATCATAGAAGCCAGAGAAAGGGCAAAACCAAACTGCCTTCTGTGCAGTTGTTCTTCAGATGCTGGTAACAGTGATGTAAGATTATTACAACCAGTTTGAAAGGCTGCGCATCTAAGCTTCCCGCAAGTTTGGCTTCTCCAAATGAACAAGATATTCCTTCCATTCAACTTCCACTGGGAAGATGAAAAGAAATGGGCAGAGCAAAGATGCAAAATAGCGCTAGAAGTCAAAAGTCAGACACATTAAAATGTCATCTTCAAAGCTATAACAAAATGATATCCAAGTTCTTCATCATACGTTGTAATTTGAGCAGTATTTACTTCAGTTACAATTGCTCATTTTCCATTTAGCATTGGTTGACATCAAAAAGGGATCTTACTTTGAGGAGATAGCATTTCCTGTACAAGTAAAGAAAGTCAAAAGAATCAGAGTTCACTTCTGACAGGCATATTACAATCTGGCTCCACTTAGTAGTAGTGTTTTGGTTAAGTGGTCTAGATTTTGAATGTCTGGTTCCTTTCTCACCCTTCTTAGGTTTAAATTCAATCTTTTCAAATGTGACTTTGTTATGATTTCAAATTATCAATATATATATGATATTTGGGGAGACCAAGTTCAGAATGGGAACAGGAAAATACTTTCTTCCATCTACCAACAAGAATATCACAGTATTAAGATATTACCAACTCTATTATTTATCCTTTGAGGTTTCCTTTATTTGTTACATTGAGATATAAAAGTGTGAAGTGAAGAACACCTCAGTCATGACTCCCAATTAAGTTAATTGGAGTAAATTAAGTCTTTTACCAAAGTGCACCAACGTTCAGTGCTTCTCTCACGTCATCTAATCCTTAATTGCCTTGACAGTTCCCTCACCATCACATTATTGTTCTCTAATCATGTACTTCATACTAATTGTTTTCCCAATTAGGGACCAAATTCTTGGAGCAAAGACCACATCTTATCCTTTCATTCCTCCCAAAGCACAAAAATAACTGCTAAACACAGAATGAATGCACACTGAACCCTTTCCACTTAAATTGAAATCCAACTGTTCTGCTGTATTCCAAATGTCAAAGACTAACTATCCATCCTGAAATTCACTGAACAAAGGTGGTAAGAGAAAACAGAGATGATTTTTTTAAAAACCTTCTTCCAAACAGACGTGTCTATGATTTGTCTCTTCCATGTCATTGGGAGTAGAAAATCCATTCTCTTGCTTTGCCATCTGTACAATGATTACAACAGCCACCAATTCTTTCAGAGGGGCTGTTACCACTAAAGCACACTGAGATGTAAGTCACTGTGCTTTAGGAATGGTGTCTCCATCTGGCCCAGGTTTAAGCCTCTTCTAACATTCTTCTAACATTCTGTAGTGTAGTGCCTTTTTCCTGTACTTTCTTCTAAAAATAAAAAAAGCCTTATTTTCACCACTTTTGCAGTCGTTTGAAGAGAAGGCTTTCAAAGTTTAAGCAATTTAGCTGACTTCTAGCTGTTATTTATTCCAAAGTTTATCAGGCGTGAGAAATTCATATAGGAAGTTTTTCTTTTTAATAATTATGATATTGAAGATTCTGATAATTACTTCTTAGTTGTACCCTTGTTCCAGTGTCTCAAATGAAATGGTCTATGAAGAAGAGGAGACAGATAGCTTCATAGTCCCCACTAAAAATACCAGTCTTCTCAGAAGCTAGTCAATGTTACTCATCTCAAGCCTTCAGAAGACTTTAGGAAAAGTCTGTCAGAAAAACAGAGCACGCTAGTCACAATGTATTCAAAAGCCATCTTCCTCTCTTTTTCTTCCAAAGCTTTAGCATTCAAATGACAATCAATCAATCAATCAATCAATCAATCAATCAATAAATAAATAAAATATATACTAGTACGAATACTGAACAGGGAAAAAGCAAACTGTTTTTGAAGGCCACTAATAATTTATTCCCTACTACTCCATCATGTCCATAAATCCCCTACATAATGTTTTCATAGATCTACAGATCTGAGCACCCACTAGTTTCTTTACACCAATATTCATTTCTATTACATGTCTGACCAGCAATGTTCGATTTCTAACTATGACCTTAAGTAATCATGTCTTGAGTAACCAAGCTACAGAAACCAGTTTCTTCTTAGACACAGCAATAAAGGCACTGAAAGAAATTGGACATTAAAAGAAATAAGTGAGGGCCCTCCCTGGTGGCAAAATGGGTTAAAGCGTAGCACTACAAAACTTGCTGCAGCTACTGCAGCTCAAGTTCGATCCCTGGCCAGGGAGCTGACCCACATGGCACAGCAGACCTCTCCTGTCCCCGCCTGCTGCTCCCCTCAGCATTGTATTTAGTCAATCTGCTCCCCACTGTCTCTGGTGAACTATCTCACCACCCCCCACCTTTAGCCTGTACCCCAGTTCTTGTATGCATAAATAAATCTTAAAAGAAGGTGCACCTGACTTACCTGCATAAATATCTATTCTTGTGGCATCAGCATCTCTGCAAAATAAAAAGGGAAAAAAACCAGGATCCATGTAAGAATATGAAATATCAAAAATGAGTATTATTTTGAGTCTATTTTCAGGAAGTCACACAAATTCTGTGTACATTGAAGTTTTATTTCCTAGGCACCATAATTGTCCTTATATTATCTATAAAAGGTTTCAATTTGAAGTATATGCCATTTAGGATCTGAAACTTTTTTAATAGAGATGTAATAATGAAAACATCTGCTCAATTGTAGCTCAATTATGATTGTTATCAAATATCTCCTAATAACTTATTCAATCTCTTTCTCACCAAATTATTAAAACAAAAAAGTCGCAGGGCCCTTCCTGATGGCACAATGTGTTAAAGCACAGCACCATGAAGCTAGTCACAGCCACTTCACTAGTTTGATCCCTGGCCGGGGGGGTGTCCACATGGCATGGCAGACCTCTCCTAACCCATCCGCTGCATTTCAGCAGTGCATTTCATCGATCTGCCTGTTCTACATCCCACTCTGTCTCTGGTGAATCCTCTCACCGTCCCTTCACCTTTGGATGCATAAATAAATCTTTAAAAAGGCAACAAAGCCTATAAAAAAATCAAGTCTTATAGAATACACATCAGAGTTCAAGAGTCTGACTCAGCCTGTACATAATCTTATCTTCTCAAACCCTGAAAGTTGGGGCACCCCATTAGACTCCAGCCATCAGCTGTAATACAAGTTCAGCCATCAATAAAGACTTGGAAGTAACTAACTCTGCCAACTACAGTCAAAGAAAATGAGGCATGGAGATTTTCATTAGTTTTTAAATACAAAAACCCACTAAATTTATACACCTCTAAAAGTATGTATGCTTATAAAAAATCCTTTTTAAGTATGAGAGCTGACAAAATCTGAGCATGCACACATATACGTACTCCAGGAATCTCTAGTCTACCACAAAAAGCAGCCTGCCACAGCAAACTAAGAACTCACTAAGCTAACAAGTAACAAATTCAGAGTTCCATTAAGCTATATATTTAAGTTGAATGTAAAAAAAATAAGTCAGGCCCTCCCTGGTGGCGCAGCGGGTTAAAGCACAGCACTGAGAATCTAAAGCCACTTCTGCATGAGTTCAATTCTCGCCTGCCCCGGAGGTGACCACATGGTGTGGCAGACCTCTCCTGACCCACCCGCTGCTCCCCTCAGAAGTGTACTTCGTCGATCTGCCTGTTCTGTTCCCCACTCTGTCTCTGGTGAAGCCTCTCACCGTCCCTGAGCCTCTGGCCTGTACCCCAGTTCTGTATGCACAAATAAATCTTTTAAAAAAAAATAAATAATAAGTCAACCAGATTGAACCAAAATGGGAGCTGTCTTCTTAAACTTATTAAGTAGCACTTTCATAAGCAGTCCAGCTAATAATAAAACACAACCACAGGTTTGTATTATCAACAGAAAATTATCAGCAAGCTCATTAGCTGAGGAGTTTAGAACTACTTCTATTGTTAACTCTGAGCCTCTTCATTAATCATCAACACCTGGTTCATAAACCACTTTATATTTGCATTAAATTTTATGACTGATCTGCATTTAGAAATAAGACAGACAACATTTTCATGGTAAAATTACAAACAGAATCCTGATTTGGACTTTGCTGTTTACCTCTAAGGCAACCCAAAGTTAAGTTCTATTCTGTCTTACACAGTAACATTTAAAAGCTTCCATCACTAAGAACTGTATGAGACAATGCTGAAGGATTTCTTCTGAACACAGATGCTAGTAATGGAAGATGGTATGATGAACTGGAGTCATCTGACAACAAAAAATACATTTTGGGGGAAGATGCAGAATAACAGGTGGCAGGCATAATATCCTGATACCACAAATTAAATCAACTTGTCCCATTAATTTGATTCCTAAGTTTTTATATTAATTCCTTCTGTTTCACTATAATTATCTTGTTCTAAAAACACAGCTTGGGAGAACAGGTAAGCTTTGGAAGGAAAGGTAGCTTTGTAGAACCTAAGTTCACTAATGTTAGGCTAGAATAAAGAAATGAATGAGTTACAGTTCATCAACATGTTTTACTTAAAAAAGTATTTTTTTGATAAACAGCACCTAAGGAGTTGCAGCTGCTACAGAACTGGTTTCCTCCCAGTCTTCAAAGACCAAAGGTCAAAACTACCCAAAAGTTTCAAGGTCAGACTATGTACCTAAAAGACTACCTACCTTGCATTATCAACCAGTTCAGCAAGAGCACCAAACAAGAATTCATGAGTAGTTCTGAAATGATAAATAATACTAAGAATCAGCAAAAGAATTATGGAATTGAATTATAAATTCTAGTAAAATTCCAGGTTGTAAATACTGAAGTTTTTAGGAAAAAAGAAAATTTTAAATTATCAATTTACAGAAATTTAAAATTCACAATTCAAGTTCTTCCAGAGTTTACTAATCCTCAAGTGATAATTAAGTCCTACCTACTCAGAAGTGTTTATACTTAACTATGCGAGTAAGCCCACTGTAAAGCATTAAAAGATTCCTTTCAGTGGTACTACTAAGAGCAATATTCTCATTCTGTTTAGGAAAAATGACGTATTTTTACTTTTCATTGCCTGTAACCAGTTGTCAGTTTCTGCTATCTCTAAGCATGCTTAACCAACAACTTGTGAGCATTTGTTTTACTAACACTTTGTGAGTGATGTACTTCTGAAGGAAAAAACCTATTCACTTTCATGCAACTTAGAAGCAAAAACATCCCATTTGAAAATGAGGCAAAAGAAGAGAATGAGCTATTAACTTTCTGACTTTCTCCAATTCTGCTTAAAGCAGGACATTTTCCACATTAAAAAAAAAGGCATTCCAAATTTCTCTTGAACAATTTTTCCTGTGAGCACAAAAACTTGGGAGTGGTCTCCTAACGCTCCTGTTAAATTATCAAGAAGAAAAGTCAATTCTCATCTCTTCTGTGAGGCCACTCAATGTTTGGGTTGGGTGAAAACTCAAATTACCATGTTATTTAGAACTCAATAAAGATGATATTTATGTATAAGATACATCCTTTATTTAATTCCTCTTTAATTTGTACTATTTCCCCTAATAGTCTTCATCAAATATAAAAGCAGACTGTGTCTACCAAGAACTACCAAGAAACATTAACTTCCAAATAAATATAAAATCACTAATCCATGTAATATATTACCATCAATTAAAAAAATTTTGTTATATAAAACACCAAGTGAAAATGTCTGCAAATTCAAAATTAAAAAAAAAACAATATTAAATAACTAGCATGTAAGAGCACTTACTACTATTCTTTAAAAACTGAAATGTTTTATAAAATGAATGCCCAAAGCTGAACTGTTCAGGAATACCAGTTTTTCCTCCTCAAAATACAAAATTAGAATTAAAATGACAAGTTTTTTTGAAATTTTAGGAAGAACTTTTCCCCATAAATCAGTGAATGTGTCTGTTGCTAACCCAAAAGCAGCACCTAAAAGTTTTAACAAAAAATAGAAATTTTACATCCATTTAACCTAGAAAATAATCCAAAACTTTACAAGTTTATAAGAAAAAGAACAATTAAAGAATAACCAGCACCCATATTTTTAATCATCTATATTCTTCAGATTATCAACCAAAGAAACAAGTATTCTATGACTATTCCCTGAAATGTAAGGATAAATAAGGTGAAAAATTAAGGTGATTTGCTGAAGTTACACAGTAAATCTAACATTTGTTCTCGATTTTTAACTAGTCATTTTCTGTTTGATTTACAAGTGACTTGGAAACTTAAGAGAATTTATTTTCCATACTATTTCTTAATTTTTAAGACTGTCATATACAAATATAAACCAATTTTATTGCACTACTCATTTCAACATCTGTACTTTTAAGTTGCCAAGGAATCTCAGGAAGTATGTTCAGAAAATACAGTTCCAGGGAAAAAACAAGAACATAACTGAGACTGCAGTGTGAATACAAAATGCAGTATGTTTAATATAAAACTAAATAAGTAAATAACTGGCCTTTGTAAGAAAACGAGTATGAATTATCTGGAAAACCAATTTTGATACCAACTGCCATCAGGGCAAAGAAATCAAAAGCAGAAATAGAGACAACTACTCAGTGATACTTATTTGACTGCTTCACACAGCCAAAGACAGTCAGAATTTTGTAAGGTCCCAAAAAACAAAAACAAAATACCTCTATTTTCACTGTTTTCTACACAATGTTTAGAAATGTACCTGTACATTTAAAAATTAAAGAAAATACCCCAATGGTCTTTATCATTCCACACAGTATTGATGCCATACCAAAAATATATCAGATAACAGGTATCTTCAAGATGTAGCTAAGGGATACTTTTGTGATATAAACTGTAATAAAAAAGCACCTTTTATGACCACTCTTGGAAAGAGACAATACTCAGAATCTTCTCCAGACAGCCAATTAAATGCTAAAGCCAGAGTTCTAATTATCTCTTATAATCATAAGACCCCCAAAACATACCAGTGGTGTAAGTTCCCCCTTTTTCCCAAATAACATTCAAAAAGTATGCTCATTACTAGCTAGCTAATATTATTTATCCAGATATCTGGATAAATACTAAAGGAAACTTTTTCTTCTGACCTGAAGATCTTTGTATGGGATGTAAGAAAGCTCAATCATGTGGAGAGATTTTTTAAAAACTTTTATTTTCAGCAGATTGTGGCTTTTATGACCTTTGTGCCATGATCAAAAGTTTTGCAGCTCAGTATTTGCAGTAAACTGAGGTGTAAATCTTATTTTGTAAAGAAAGTAGCTTCCCTGTTTACTTCAGCCTGAATATCAATCAATGGATTATTCACAAGCTTCTCACAACTTACATATGAATGGCTTCAATATATTTAAAGTGTGAACCTACATTTCAAAAGGATTATAAGTCATGAGAAATAGTCTCAAATGGGTTTCTTTACATTCACTCAAACATACTGATAAAACAACTAAAAAGATATGGCCAAGACAGTTGTTATTAAATGTACTAATAGGAATGTCCTTTGCTATATAAAACAGGCATCCTTTATTGAAGTATCCTGCTCTACAAGACCACTTAGTAAATAATTTAATGCATCTTCTACCAAAGGAATAGAACTACCACTGCATCAGGAATCAATTACCCTGATTACTCAATTTCAATTAGCAGTTACAAAACACCACAGAACAGTAATAGCATTGTATTTCTTTTATTTAAAAACCTTAACTTTTATTTTTATGTAAAATAAAAGCCCTAATTTTTGTCATCTCATACAAGCAACATCCAATATTAAAAGCCAAAGATAATAAGAATTTCCCAAGACACTTTTAAAACTTAATACTACTGTAACTAAGAGAATAATCACTATTAGAAACCTAATACATTTATTGCAACACTACTTACAATGGATAAGCTATGGAAGCAAACTAGATGCCCAAAAATAGATGAATGGATCAAGAAGATGTGGTATATTTACACAATGGAATATTACTCAGCAGTCAAAAACTCATGTCCTTTGCAGCAACATGGATGGAGCTGGAAAGGATTATGCTCAGTGAAATAAGCCAGAAAGAAAAAGGAAAAAAAATCAAATGATCTCACTTATAGGAGGAATATAGAGAAAACAAAATAAGGGATCAGGAAAAAAAACTTACAATAAAGAATCAAAATCATCAGACAGCTATCAGTCAATGTGTAGGGGAGAAAGAGGGAGAAGGGCCAGGTCAGGGGTGGGAAGAGCACAAGAGACTACAGTGATGGCACATGGGTGAACTGGTGGTGGGAATTTCATTGGGAAATCATATTGTACAAAAAAAGGATAATATAATGAATATAGTTAAAAAAATTTTTTTTAAAAAAGTGAAAGAAACCTAATACAAAAATTTTCAATTACTTTCTCCAATAAAAGCTCCAAAACTTAGTAAAAACTTACTTGGGTAATAATTAAGCACCCAACACAAATACAGTGACCAACTTTTGGTTTACATAAGCTATTATGAAGAGGATAATCACCATCATCTATTCAATGTTATGTACAATATTGATCACTTCATAAACATTACCTTATCTAATTCTCATAATCAGTCAGGTTAGCCCCATTTTAGAGGCTCTGAGTAGTTGACCTGCCTAAAGTACTCAGTCAGGACGCAATCTAATCAAGGCCTGACTGGCTCCCAATCCCATGCTCTTTCCACTGAACCACAGATTTCTACCTTTGAGTTCCACTTTCTTACCTACACTAAATGGTAGGTAAGAAAGGGCTATTTCTTTTATAATTCATATGGCACTATTGTAGGTATCAGATACCTTACAATAGTTGGTTTAAAAATTACAACAAAAGAGGAAGTATTATATGACAAATCCTTTGCAATATGACTTTACACCAGTTAATGTATGATACACTTACTGTCATTTCAAGTAATGAGTCACAGCTTTTGAAATTTTAAAAAGTGTTTTTATCTATAAATGAACTTCCAGTCAGGGTACCACTATTAAAAAAAATCTTGAAATTAGCTACAAATCAAAAACTGATCTTGATGTTCTGGTTCATTATTTCCTTCTTGCAGGGCTGTATACATTCAAAAGTAGACAATTTCAAAGGTGTGATCCACTAATAAATTCTAGAGCTTCCAAAGTCATATATCCAGCCTTAAATACATATACAAGAAGGTGATTCCACTTCAATATGGGTCAAATACACAGAAAAATTTTCAACAGCAGTTTACAAAAGCTATTTAACTGAGATCTGATTCTTTACCATGGCTCTGTCTACTTATTGGTAATAAACTATAAAACGGAAAAAGAAATTTTAAAAAGCATAGCAAAATATCTGACTCCCCCCAATAATGAAGGCTTATTGAGATAAACTAAAATTAGACTTTGCAAATGGGTAACAAATCTTAATAAGTAAATTCTTAAAAGCGACAGCTAAAAGTTCTAACTGAAGTATGGCCAGATAAATCTGCCTTAAATCCACCATTTAGCAGCAGTCTATGTAATCTCTAGCATGTAACTTAATCTCTGGGCCTGTTTCCTCAAATGCAAAAGTCATAATCCTTATCCTAGCAAGGTTGCTTGGAGAATATTTTAGGTCATTTTAAAACTGACTGGTGTGATGCAATTATCCTATGATTTTTTAACAAAAGCCTTTGGAAAAGATGGAATAAGAACTCTTGCCCACGGTCTTCAAATGTTATCAGAGTCAATCCAAATTTGGCTCCTTGCTCCAAAAGCCATAGATCAGACAACCATTTGTCAAGCACAATGATCTGTGAATATTTAAGTGAACTTCAATTGCTTGTTCTTAATGTGGAAATTCAAATACTTATAAAAGGATACCCAAGTTTTTACCCAAGGCTATGCTCCAACTAGATGAGAGAACACTGATCAACACTGGAATGATGGATTTCAGATTCACCATGTGAAGCATAAGAATTCCACCTAGATGACACTAAGGGTGGGTACTCTGAAATGCTCTAGAGCTCACTAAGTTTCCTAAACAAAATGAGGCTCTCATTGATTAGCAAATCACTAATCAGAAAATTTCCTTGAGAGAACAAACAGCAAACAAAAAATTACAGGTATCACAGGTCCTTTCCCATAAACAACTAAAAGTTATTGTACTAAAAATTATCATACCGGGTACCTGAAGTGCACGTTCTCAAAAGAAAAGATTGTTCTTCCTATAACTTGAAGCCATTTACTCAATCACCTCTCCAGGTTCTGAAACGGTGGCATACCTATCTTCATCTCAAAATTGTTAACGAATGTATAAAAACAAAGTAAACGGTACCCTCCTGGCTTACTTCCAAAAGACATAAGGATTAATAGCATTCTAGACCAAATGCGGGGTGATTTCTTCATTAACACAGTATGTGTTCCGTGATTTGCACACATACTGGGGAAAACTACTTAAATCATGGGTTTTTTAAAGTTGCCATTTCTTTCTTAGCTTATAAAAATTATATTGGATGTAAGGAAGGATTTCCCAGGAAAACACTGCCAACTGCTGAAAAAAACTTCAATTTCTTCTTACAAGTTGTCATTTATGCATCTTCTTTGTTTCCTCTTGTTAACAAACGGACTTAAACGTGCCACTTAGGTTATTATAACCCATCTATTTTGGCTGTTATCACTAGAGAAAACAGTTGATAATAGAAGAGTCCAGCTTTTGGAGATCCAACGAACAGTACTTGTTCAATTCCTAACAACTATACAACCCAACACACCAACTTCAAAGAAATAAAGGTCGCATTTGCTCACACAAATTTTTGATGCAATAAATGAAGATCATATTCTTCTGGATTAGTAACAAATATTTCACTGATCTGTTCATTATAGAGCTCAAGAATGATCCATCCCATAAAGGAAAGAGCAAAATTTTATGGAGAAAGTAGTTCCATATTCTATCAAGGAATGAGCTATCAGTGACCTCATTGGCACCTACAAGATACTTACGAATTTGTATGCAGATATTCAAAGGTTAGCTGAGCTCGATTCAAACTGCTGTAATTTGTGAAAGCCATGAGTGCAGTGAGTTCTCCAGTCCTTTACCCACTAGTTGGGAAATACAACTTTCAATGGAATAGGTTTTCCAGGATTTCTTCCAGCGAAAATTAGTATGTCTGTACTCTTTACAGTTCGATAATGTCACCTAGTATCTACCCAAAATAGGTGGCAGAAACTACAGACTTCCCCTTTATTTTTTAAATCTTCTGAATGGCTATGATGTAGTACTACGTCATAAACCTGTAGTCTCGCGGGGCTAATCTTAAGAGCTTTTGTGTTAAGTTTTCGGAAGTTCAATGAGTTAAAGGTGGATGGTCCTAGCGTCGACCGTACTGGAGTGGGCAGTTTTATTGCGGCTCCATCTTCTCGATCTTCCAGCGTTTTGTCTGTTTCCTTCAGGTAATTTACCAATCCGGAAACTTACCAACCGGAACTGGACCAACTTCTGTCATAAAACGGTAAAATCACCCATGTCTTCAACCACCAATGATCCCAGGATCCTTAAATTGGCCCCCGACTGGCGACCACTAAGTCGGTGGAGCACATCCAGCCTCAGTTCTGGTTTCACCACTCCCAGCTGAAAGAGCTCCTCTGCGTGTTGAAGGCCGATTTGTTTTTAAAGCACAGACCACAGCTAGCTTGTGTGGCCTCAATCTCGCCCCAGTACAGAGACAGATGACCTCACACAGAACCACGACAACGCCTCTGAATTGACCCGCCCAAATCACCTCAGGCCCGCCGCGCCCCTCCCCCACTCCCTCAGCCAGCAGCCACAGCCTCGCAGGCCCGTTCCCGGCCTTGGCCCGTGGCGTCCTCCTCACGGAGTCGAGTTAGTCCCAGCTTTCAAGGCCCGGATCGAGGGCAGTGGCGAGCGCACCACCCGGCCGGGCGTTGCCCAGCGCTCGCAGCCGCCTTTGTCCCTCCCCACAGAACTGGAACCCAACAACCGCAGCGCGCTCTTGGAACCATGTGCTGCTGCCGCCGCCGCTGCCGCCGCTGCCGCCGCCGCCGCGAAACCAGCAGCCCGCGCGCCGTGCAGAATATGATGATAGGACTCAGCCCCACGAAACTTGGCGTTTAAGGCTTCACCGCTGTTGGTATCACAGTCACCGCAAGCACCGCTTTGTCTCCTTCACACAACCCGGGCCGCCTCGCGCACTCCCCGACGCCCCAAGCCCCCGAGGCCTCCGCGGCGCTTCCAGCCAATCGCGGAGCCGCAGCTCCTCCCGCCCCCGCCCTGATGCGACGTCTCCTGATTGGTGAAGCTGGTGTGATCACGTGACCGGATCTTGCTAGCCAGACCCGCCCCCGTCACGTGAGAGCACGCACCTCTCTTCCTGCTTTGCTGACCCTCTCCGCCATTTAAAGAAACAGTACCGGGGGCGGGCCGAGCGACGCAGCCGGGACGGTAGCTGCGGCGCGGACCGGAGGAGCCATCTTGTCTCATCGCCGGGGAGTCAGGCCCCTAACTCGAAGAAGCCCTGGCGCGCCCTCCCCCCCTCCCGGGTCTGGTAGGGCGAAGGAGCGGGCGCGCGGTCGATCGAGCGATCGGTTGGCGGCTCTTTCTCCTGCTCTGGCATCCAGCTCTTGGGGCGCAGGCCCGGCCGCCGCGGCGCGCGCCCGGTGGCCGTTGGCGCTCGCGCCGCGTCTTTCTTCTCGTACGCAGAACTCGGGCGGCGGCCTATGCGTTTGCGATTCGACGAGGAGTCGTCCGGGTGGTCGGCGGCGGCGGGCAGCTGCTCCGCCCCGCTCCCGGGGAGGCGGCGGCGGGATTTGGCGCGGCCGGGGAGGCGGGGGTGGCCGCGGCCGGCCTGGAGGCCTGGCGCCACCCTTCGGGGCCTGCTAGGACCCAGTTGGGTCAAGAGGGAGCCGGGGGATGGTTGGTGGTGGGCTTTCTGCTTTGCCTTTTTCTCCTCATGCCGCCTTAGTGAGGGGCGGGAGCTCTGGCGGCAGCTCCGGGGTGGGGAGACAAGCCCCGGAGTCGGAAGAGCTGGGTTTGCTTCCGGGCCTAGCCACCAGCTGGCCGAGTGACCTTAAGCAAGTCACTCAGTAATTTGTCTGCGCCTCAGTTTCCTCCTCTGCCTGTCGATGTTTGTGGGATTGAAAGCGCTTTGTAAACTGTAAAGCGCCGGTGTACGTGAGGGATGGTATTGTTTGTTTGTTTGTTTGAAGTTGCAAGAAAACCTGGCAGTTGCCCATTCCTTGGTTTTGAACCAGGGAACCTTGGAGTTGGACATCCTCAAACTCCCTGAAATCATATGCAGAGATTAGTGGGAAAATGCATCTTAGGGGGGTGAGGATCCTACGCCAGCCAGTTTTCTCAAGGGGGCTGAAACCCAGAAAAGTTAATCAGAAGTCTTTTAAGCCACAGGGAGGAAACTGAGGCCTAGATGTCCTTTGGGACCCTTTACAACCAATTTGACACCCCCCCCCCATGTGAATCCCTGAGATATGTGAGCTGTTTCTATGCATAATGAATATTTTGGGTGACAACACTCCACTGCTTGGCTTCTATTCTGAGTCCTTTGCTTTCACCATGGGGTGCCTGAAGGTTGATCAACCGTATGGTATAATGGCGCCTGTTGAGGGGAAAAAAAGCAGCTAAAACTAGGAGTGGATGTCTTCTCTAGTACCAAGAAACCAGTTTAATCTTTGGCCTGACAACTGTTTGCTGCTGCTTATACTGGTGCCTGAAGACCTTCTGACTTTCACTATTTCCCACCACCATCATTGCCATCCGTTACTTGCTCCTACTTTATAACCCTCGCCTGGATGGTTGGTAGTAAACAGGCTTATTTTATTTTATTTTATTTTATTTTATTTTATTTTATTTTATTTTAATGGTGCTGCCAAGTCCAGTTAGTTAATGGTGCAGATGACTTTTTAGCAAGCCAGCTCACTCAGACTTAACCAGTTGGGGAATTCCTGAAGCTAATTGGGGGGTTTGTCTGTATTCATTGAAGGTAAAAGTTCTCTGAAAAGTTTTGTTAGAACTGCTGAATCTCAAAATCAGTAGATTTGAAAGTGTTAAAAACCTTGACTGTTTTCCTGGCCTGCCTTGTATTCTAATTGCTTGCAAAAGTGTTACTAAGATGGCCAAAGTGCCACTTTTTGCTTCTTTGTTGTCACCTGCTTTTATCAAATTCTAGGCCATCATCCAGCAAACACTAACAATGTTTGAACACTTGGATTTCAAACATTTGCATTTTTGTGGAGTGGTGCTTACCAGTGGTACAGCTCTAAACAAGTGAACACAAACACATTTAAGTGTATTTCATCTGGTTAGGTGAGCCATTTCTGCTATTTCATACAAAAGTCTGAAAAATCAATTGACTGTTCCTTTTACCTAAAGGGCAGAGATAAAAGACCTCACTTCCAGAGAAATGACTGTTTGGAAGGAGTATGCGTTGGTCATTTAGCTCTTTTGTAATTAAATCTGGACGTACCTCAAAAGAATCGAAAGACTGGTGATAAGATGCTTTCCTCAGGAGAAAGGAGGGGGGAAAAAAAACAACAACTGGAACTCAAAGCTTGAAATTCTGTGAAAAACACATGAGATGTCCGGGATAGGAGGTTTCTCTACAGTGTTCTACACTCCCTGAAGCAGAAAGTTCTCAATGTAGCCAGAGGGTGGATTCCAGATTTTCAAGAACTGGACCTGGCGCCTGGAAGAATTTATCAGGATGTGGCAGAAACTCTGGCACTGGATATTTTTATTTCTGAATTTGAACTGTCATCTTTGCTTTGAGAAAAGAGACGACGACTGAGCAAGCACTGCCACCAACAATGACTGTTACTGGGAATTAGGAACCCCGAGTTTCTGCCACACCCTTGGTATAAACGGGACAACATTCCATCCAAAGTGAACTACGGTACATGTCATTTTCCCTAATGCCTTACTCTACCATTTCTGCACCTCTCTTCATGGTCTTACCTTGAATTCCTAGCTGTCGAAACTCTGGTTTCCTCACTGCCCAGCTCAGATGTCTTTAGTCAGAAATCCTTTTTCCAGTTTTCTAATTTTTCCTATATCTTTTAGTCTAATGTATAACATCAAAGGTATTTAATATATGCAATACCTTGCAAAATAGTTATTTGCATGCATTTGCTCTTTTTCCTAAGAGCCAATTCCTTGAAAGCAGAGGCTTTGTCTTTGTCCACATCTGCTACTACTTGGTGAAGAACTTGATAGAAATTTAGAGAGAAGGCATAAGTTCTATGTTAACCTAATTACTCTTGATGAGAAGTCAAGTCATGACTTGGCATGAGATGTGAGCCATGTGTCCTTCATTTCACATGTTCATATTTTTTAATTGTAGATTTAAAAATAATGAAGGATCCCTAAAACAAAAGAGAAACCAACAAGTTGCATGCAGATGAGTGCGAGGAACAAGGCCAGGTACCCTGTGATCTACCACTCAGTATTTAATCTTGTTAAACTGAAAACTAAGGGCAGCTTTTAAAGGGATAAGAATTTGAGAGAAGCACTTACATCACCTTTGGGGCCGCTTCTTTCTCCCATACCAGTCAATGCCTAGCAATCTGAATACAGTCAAATTACTCATCAAAGTATGTGTTTTTGTTTGTTACTTCCCTGAGACAGCTTGTTCTCAAGAGTCAGGAAACAGTGTTTGCCAGAGAACTGTCTGCTCTCATCATTACTGATTGTAAGTCATAGGCATTTTCCTCCCTGCTTACCACTGTCTGCTTCTAAATCAGGCTTGTCAAGAGTTAATCCCTGGCAGGCAGCTAATGACTGATAGCAGACCCACCTATGTTAGAGTCCTGTGTTTGTAATTCCATGCATTTGTTATCTGTTTTGTCCCTGTCCCTTTTAGTCCTGTGCCTCCTGATTGCTGAGTGTTCACCTGGATCTCCTGATCACCTTCCTTGTGTTGTCCATCAGTCTACAGATCGGGTACCTGGATTTTTGCCCTTGGTGATTCCTGCCACCTTACTACTGAAGAAGACACCATTCCAGTGGACCACTGTGACTAAAGAGGCTTTCTAGCCATCATGATGTGGCCTTCACCTCGACTCCTGTCCTGTTCTACCCATATTCAGCACAGCCCATTATAGTGAAGTCAAACTCAAGCCAAATAGTTGAAGCTGTTTTACCACAACAACGGCCCAGTTTGTTCCATGAGTGTGCATTTCATTTTTAAGTTAAGTCTTCAGAGACACATCATAAATTTGGACCAGGGGACTTTCAGTTGTCAACAGAAGAATGGCAACATCTTTTTGAAAGAATTATTGGACCATACCCCACACTCAAATGGTTGAAGTTCATGAAGTATCTTGGATCCCACCGAGGTTACTGGACCATGTTTTTCCATTTCACATCTATAGTAGCCTACTGAATGAGAAAGCAGATAATCTGACTATTGGGATTGAGACAATGGCACAGTGAACTCGTAGCATCTTCATTGGGATTACTCAGGAACCAGAACTTTTCACACGTGAGAAATTCTACCAAGGAATCCCTTTACCTAACAGCATCTCACAAAACTCCAATCAGATTCCAGAAAAGACCTTTTGATATATCCAGGTGGAACCTATATGGTAATCCCTTATGTTTATATAGCACTTTACAGTTCAAAGCACTTTTACATGCATTAATCTCAATTATCACACTAATCCCTTCTTGTAAATAAGAAAATGGAAGGCTTAAACATTATCCAAGGTAACACAGCTATAACGTGGTAGAGACCAGGCCTTCTGACCCCTAGTTCAGTATTCTCTTTGGAATTAACCTCTGTTTTACCAACAGTGTTAAGAACAGATGGAGATTGGGAACCCCAGAAAAGTTTCCAACTTCCTGATCTGTTGTCCTCAGTCAGACAGGATATTATTAATGTGATAGCTGCAGCTAGACCAAAATTCCATGGCAGCACCCCTAAGGTTTAAAAACAAACTTATCTCCATGATGGTAGGTTGCCTAGTCTACAAGACATGTTTAACAGTCTACCCAACATGAAACAAACCTGCTTTTAGAGCTTTCATCTGCCTTTATGGTGCTCCAGAGATGGCCCAATTGATGCGATTATATATGGTCTTTTATACCCAAACTATTATTTACTCAAAATGAGATATATATTATTTCTAGAGCAGCACTGTCCCTATGTATGGATAAATGTATCATGTAGGAACTTCTACAGAAGTTCTTCAGTAAGTTGGTAAAATGTGTTCCCTCCTAGTTCATAAAGCACTGTAGTTTTCAACAAAGCTTCATTGAGCTTCTTAAGACTGTCCTAAGTTTTAATCAAGCAAAGAATATTACTTTTGCAACATTCCTTAGACTGCTCCCTTTAGAGCAGTATAGCCAGATCTTTATGAATGCCAAAAGATTACCATAGAGATCCAAGAACAGGCATCTTTGAAATCCCCTTTTACCTTGTCGTTAACTGCTTAAATTAGTATGTCTTCATCATCAAGAAACCTACATTTTGACCATATTTTCTGTTGAATGAACCTCTAGAAGACTTGGGGGAAATGTGGGTTATGGGAGGGAATTTGGGGAAATGGGGGAAAGTTAATTCTGCCAACAAGTTGGATGAGTTCTGTGACATTTATCAATATATTTCTTTCTGTCCCTAGAATTAAAATGTAAACCTATTGCAGCTCAAGGGCCTTGATTCTTAGGTGCGGGAGAAGGATGGAAAAAGAAAGAGGGTAGAGAAGGAGATGTTTATTAGCACTGAGCTTCCCATTGAGGTTAGTGTTTGAAGGCAGCCAACTATGGACTTACTGGAATGATATTTATGAAGAAATGCATTTCTTCATCACCCAAGGCTATTATCACTTAAAACCTATAGCCTTGTTCTGTGATAGTCATTGCAGATGCAATTTCAAGTGATCAGAAAGGACTTTTAACTCTCCATTTTGTAATGTGTTCTACTTTAGAGAAAGATTATTAGAACTCTTTGGCTTACCACAGGCTTTATTCACACAGTTACTGGTTTCTATGATCTATTTTTTGTATTTCAGCATTTGTGAACAACTTACTCTTAAATCACTGGTTTTCCAAAGGCTCTGTGGCCATGAAAATGAAGCCCACTGAATGAAAACCATGTGGATGCCCAGAGTAAAGTGAAGCTGCTCTGGATGACGCAGGAGTGGGGGGCCTGAAACCATCATAAGCATCTATCTTTCTTTACCACCGTGGTGAGACCTCAGGAGACTTCCTTACAACATTACAATTCTTCAGAGAACAGTTTGAAAACTACTGCCCTTGCAAACAAGATGTTTGACGTTCTGATCTGTACCTTTCCCTAACGAGGTGAACATTTTTAAGAATACTTACTGTGTATAAATTCAGAAAATTGCAAGAAAGTCATCATATTTTGCCCTCCCAAGTCACTACATGGACTGAAGGTGATGTCAGGTGGACACAGATTAACAGCTTTCTACATGCAGATGGACTTCCAGTGACTCCTGGGGTTGGATACACCCAGAGAGCAGTTCATACACTGACAGCTGCCCCAAGCCAATTTCCTTCATATACTACAGATAACTGTCATGGTACTTGAAATACAGGACTTTGAAGTCTTGATCCTCCTTGGTACCTGAATCACCAGGTGGTGAAGCTAATGCCTCATTGAGGCCATGTTAGATCAACTTGAACATTGGACTGCTCATCCTCAGCTATGGTACTGTACTTATGTACAAGGGATAACCATTATGAAAGAATTCAAAATACCTGCAACATTACTTAAAAGAGTACCTGGTTATCATCTGTTTCTCAAAATATGTCACTATGATTCAGCCAATGGCAGTTGCACTGCTCCTTGGTTTTTATTCAGTTTAGCTGCTGATTCCAAGTAAATGAGCTAATGACCTTTTATTAAAAAAAAATCTTCATCACTGACATAATCTGCCTATTCTGCTTCAAAATTATACATACTCAGCTCTACACATAACACTGGATCCAGAAAAGACGATCTTGAACATCCATTCTTGTGTATGTGACTTAAAATATGGCAATTAGAAATTTTTCGTCTAGCCCATCAGAAGATGTCTTTTTAAGGTGGATCTTCTAGTGTCTGGTACCACCAACTATAGGGGTTAAGAATATTTGGAAGTAGACCCTTTGACCAGGCCATCATATGTCTTCTTTGCTGAACATCTCAAATTGCATTAATATTTACCTTTTGCTGGAAATGAACACTGACTTGAAAAAAATCTACAAAGCCTGCAGTTACGGATTTTATCAGACTTAAGAGCTTCATACTGCTGCTTCCTAATGTCACATGATCACAGCCCTTTGTTCGTGCAGATGTTTTCTTGCCATTTCATCTGTCTCAAAACATACTGATTCAGAGCAGCTGGCTTCATTCCTTGCCGTAAGATACTTTCAGGCATTAAGACAACTTATCTGTTAGTAAAGGAAGGATTTGATTTCCGAGACCAGATCATATTAAACAAGTAAACATTGATTCATGTCATGAGAAAATCACATTCCTTCACAGTTCACTTCAGGGCCAATTGTCCTCAACAAGTATAATGCACTGGTTAAATGTTAGGAACAGTTTCTTTTTGTCTCATTCTTTAAATGAATCGTGATTACATGACTCAGTCTACAAATCATCAAACACTGTCCACCCTCAACAAATGAAAACAAAATCTGGATAACTAGTCTCTTTAATATATACAACTATTTTTCAAGAAATAATCTACAGACTTTCTCTGCTACCTTCAAATAGCAGCTCAATGTTTTCTCTCCTGTAACTTTACAGAAAAACTAATCTACACTACCATTCTCTTTAATCCTGTCAAAATGAGGGGCTTATGGTGAGGATGATCATCTGTTAGCCTAATATATTCTATATGGAGAATTGATGGTTTGATTAAAAAATGCCTACAACTCAAACCTGACATCTGACCTACAATCTCCATGCCGCTGAACTCATCTAAGTATCTCAGCATTGTTCAGCCAATCTGAGACCCTACAGTGATGATTCTCAGATGAGCTGAGTTACAGAAGATGAAGACTTGATAACCAAAGAAAGTAGGGCTAACCTTGATGAACCTGGCTTTCCCAACCCAATGGCTCCCAGGTATAGCATAGGCTTCTAAACACAACCTCAGTTCAGTACTGAAGATATAGTAACAGACTTCTAAATTCAAAGTTTTAGGGCAGAGCAGGAAGTTGAAAGCTACTGCACTTGATTGACCCGTTAAAATCAGAATAAACCCTATGGATTATCCCTGGATTAATCAGGGTACAAACTTGTTTACAGAGCTTCGATATTAATCTGCCTGTTCTTCCAGATCATATCCTGATTACTGGTATGGCTGGCCCTGCTGAAGGAACCCTACTTGCCTCTCTACCTGACTCTGCTCTTGCCTGCCTTTTTCTTGACTTGCTGCTGCAATCAGACTGACTTTGCCTTGAGAAGACTACAATATACTCAGTTCCACCAAGAACTTTTGAACAGCGACAGCCTTCATTTCACCTCACCAGGACTTAAGGTTCACAACAGGAAGGATCACGCTGTACATTCCTTGACCAGCAGCATACCCCTCCTCCTCTTTTAAGTGCAGAATAAGCCTCTATGCCTATATATGTATGTATATATATATATATGTGTGTGTGTATATATATATATATATATATATATAATTTTCAGCTCTGGAACTCTTGTCTACCAGAACTAAAGGAGTATAGCAGATCAAAAGCACTGTTCTTCTCTTGCAATAATAATGAGTCTGAAATGTACCACTTTGATTTGACAAAGATTTAAAGGAACACTAAGCATTTTCCATTGAACTTAAATTTACCGCTGACATGAATAGCCTCACAGAACTACTTGCCATTGGGAGGCTCTTGTCCTGCTTCACATCAGCAAGATAATTGAGCTCTCAGACTCATGACCACTAAGTTTACTTATATAAAACTATTGTAACATCCAAAGTATACTACTGGACATGATTTTTCCATTCAAATGGATTACAAACTTTCTGAGGACAGGATAAACTTAGTCCTCATAATGTTTTTCCAAAAACTATTGTCAAGGAAGTAATACCAGCTGTTACCATTCATCTTTATGAGCAAAGATTAAACCATTTTTTAATATCTGGTCTCTTTGGCATCAATTTTTGATGTCTAACCTATCTCTTTGTAACAACTTCCTGATGTTTCTCAGAGCCACCTACTTATTTTCAGGCTACATTTTTCAGATCATCTGAACCCCAACCTTAGAATTCATGGATGAGCATGTAATAAAACCTGATCAGTCTGCATAGTCCATCTCCTTGACCATCATGACTGGTTCAGGAATGGTCATGTGATTCAAATTGGTCTAGTGACACTCAGCTGTGGAGTTTTACAGAACTGTGGAGGAGATGTTCAGAGCTCTGTTTACTGAGGTTGTTTTGTAGGATTAAAAAAACAAACACAACAGGGCCACCATGGCAAACAAGCCAGTGAAAGAATGAAGCCAGTGCAGAGGAAAGCAGAGCCAAATGATGGAGAGACTTGAGTCTTGATGGCAATGTTTGTGCCCCTGGATCCAACCGTGCCTGAAGCTAAATATCCCCTGGACTTTTCAGTTATGTGAACCAATAAATGCCCTTTTTTGCTTAAGTTACTTTGAGTTGGGTTTCTATTGCTTGAAATTGAGTCCTCAGTAATACAGTATCTACCAGTATTGAAACTTAGAAGATCCAATTATTAAGTTAGAGGTCATGACTACCCTGAAATAATCTTCCAAACTGGAAGGCAAAAAAGAATTGATAATGTTTAAGGTACTACAGAAGCATAAAAATAATTACATAGTAGAAAAACTAAACATCAGCAAAGAGTTAACACATGGCTATTCCATAAAAGAAAATCTGTTGAAGTACAGTTATTGTATATGTACATGAAAAAATGGCCATGATATCTTAAACTGTTTACAGAAAGGTGTAGAAGATGAACTCATTTTAAAATTTGTGCATATAATACATAGAAAAGTCTATTGAGTTTCAACGTGTAGATTACATGAGACTTTCAACATTTCTGTATTTGAATATTTTACACTAAAGCTATTTTAAAAGCTATTAAAATGCACTGCTTAATATTTGACCCTGACGAGCAGCTTATCATTTTTGTTAAATGTAAAATACCTATCTTTATATTAGTGAATATAGATTAACATGTTCATCCTCCATTCAGTCTATCAGATTTTGCACTTTGCTTGAGATTTTCTGAACTCAGAAATTGCTCATTAGTATTTTAAGCACATCTCTTTGAATGATTGTGTTTAATTATCAGAACTTCATAGTTTGTGTTGCTATTCTAGTTTTCAGTATTTACTACTGCATAGTTCACCCTACTTAAAAAGAAAGCCTCATTTTCTTTGAAACCCTTGAATTTTCTGATCTCACTGCAATCAAGGTCAGTGATGGTCCTTTTTATTGTTAAATCCACTACATATGATCCTGGGCGTTAGGTTTTCCCCATCCGTTAAATATTGGCTTGGTAGAGATCTATTGAGTTTTTCCTCCCCCAAGTCATTTTCCCTTTCCTTTAGTGGTAGATCCCCACTCTTCCTTTGCAGTGCTAAACTTTTGGTTTTAGTGGAACTATTTCAGTATTCTGACCTCCCAACCTTTGGCCGAGGTCTGACCTTGTGATCAAGCTTTTCCAATCAAAATCCCCCTCCCAGGCCTTACTGTGTCCTAAGAGAGGTAACACAAAATTGAGGGCAAAATTTGGATAATTGGATAGCTGTTGCCAACAGGACAATTTGGAGTGAATAAGATCAAGATCATTGAGGCAGAATGATCACTTAGATCACTTTGGATAATTTGAGAACAAACTCAAATCCAAAAGAAACTACTGCAGGTTTAGAATAAGTCTTTTCCGTGTGAAGCTTGAATAAGCCTCTTTCTTAGTGCTTAGTTACAAACAAGAAGTTGAAAATTCAACCCCTAGATTATACAGTTATAATCCTGATTGAATTGGCAGCATTACTAAGATCTCTTAATGAAAGCTAAGGTATTAATGAAAAGAGACTTAACAAGTAATGACGTTTAGGAGAATTCAGAAGTCTTGGAAGATTCCAATCTCCAAATATCCAAATGAAATTCTTTAAAAACCTTGACTGAAGAACATGTAGAGTATGTATGGGTGAAAGAGGAAGAGATCAACCCAAGTGACTGTTGATTTGGTACAATAAAAAAAGACGTATAGCCCCTACTCTCGTGTACCTGCTTGCATTCTCCATCTCAGTATCTTGCCCCTCATACCTACTGATTGAAGTTTGAGCATGCTCCAACTTAATCCAGACTTCCCCTTCTTTGGAGGTGAGCCATTCTGATGGTGTCCCCCTCATTCATGTATGTGAGTATGTTGGTGGTGGTTAAATAAACCAGTGGATGTATAAATGTGCAGACTATGAAGTTAAGAACTAGAGAGTGAGCATCATCCAGTGATTTTAGACTACTGGATGTGATAACTAGAAATTATCTTAAGTTGTCTCCCATTGACACAAAAGTAAATATATTTTCTACAGTATTTTGGGTGGAGGTATTTTGAAAAAGTGTTATATTGAAGAATCCACATGATGGACTGCCGAGGTATGGGACATAATGGACAACTGCTTTGCTTCCCAATGTCTCTTTACCCCTCCTTTAAGAGTAATTTCACCTTTCCTTTGGGAAGCTGCATCTCCAGTGCTACCAGAAGGAATATATGGATGGGAAACATAATTTCCTAATACTGAGATTTACTCAGTTGCTCAAGGTTTCTGATTTTCTTGCCTATTAAGCTTCTCTACTTGAGCTGCAGAAGCTATCACCTGTACAACCATATGTAGAGGCCCTATAGCCCAGCCGTGATTTTTGTTGCTTACTGTGAGACCTCCAACCTTTCAAAATCAGTGTCCTCCTGTGCCTTAGGCGGTCTTTCCCTACAAAATGAAAAATCAAATTAATTCTCCTGACATTGGTTTCTAACCAATATGCTGGTAACTTCAGATGCCAGTCTTCAGCTCAGATAATTTTCCTGAACTCCAGATCTCAGAGTGTCCACCTGTCCTCTCGATTTAACACAGGGATACCTCACACCCAGCATCTAAAACGTTGATCCCCTCTTTTTTTCCTCAAAAGATGTTCTTCCGTTCACCTTCTTGGTAAATGGCACTACCCTCACCCTGTTTCTCCTTGACTCCTCTCTCAACCCAGACATTCCTGTTAATTTTGAGATCCTCGTGGTAAGTCAGGTAATAAACCTGAAAAATACGTCCACTTCTGTCACCCTCCTCCAGGGAAACAGTTACATGTTGCTAGGGCTTTTGGGGTGCTCTTGTAATTCTGTCATTGCCTCTAGTGTTAGCCAACAACAGTCCATTTTCTGCAGATGCTAGAATGGTTTTTGATACACAGATCTAATTGTGTCCCTCCCCTGCCTAAAACCTTTTACTAGTTCTATTATTTTAGAGGCTTTATCCTTATTTATGAGTCTTAACTGCTGCTTTCCAAGCCTGTTTCACTGTTTCAAACAGGAATAGCTCAGTTTTGTATTTTGGAGTTACCTACTGCTGCTATAGCTTAATTTTTCTTCCAATATTCTCTTTCCATGACCTTTTAAAATTAAATCTGGTATGTATAACTTCATAGAGCCATAGCAGGTGCCTAATTAGAAGGCAACCAAATCCCTACCTCACAACAATACAAAAATTAGTACCAGAAGGACTACAAATTTAAAAGTTAGGGTGAAATATTGGGAGAATTCTTAGGAAACATTTTATGATCTTACAATGGGTGACCATAAACAGGAAAACTAAAAGGAAGTTACACTTGGCTATATAAAGCAAGTTTTAAGAAAACAAAACTATATATATATATGTATGTATATATATATATATATGTTGGGGAAATATCTCCAACATAAGTGACAGATTTGTAGTTAATATGCCTTAGAATACAGAGTTCCTACAAACTGACAACTATAAAACAGTCACATAGAGAACACCCAATAGGGAATTCAGAAAAAAGACCCAGAGTAATAGTCACTACCCATTTACTTTGTGCTTATTGTATGCTAGGTATTTCAGGTGATTTACAAGATTGTTTACTCCTGCCAGTATACCCTATGAGATAGGTAATATCCCTGTTGTCTAGCTACACAAATAGGCTCAAAGGAATTAAGTAACTTGCCAGGTCAGACAATAGGTGCTTGCACATTTTGAGCTATGGCTCAAAATTAGGTGTTCTCTAACCATTATGCCCTTTGGTAGTTAACTAAACATTTAAAAGAGGGCAAAGTGGAAATGTCAATGAGGTAAAAATCAAAACAAATAATGTAGGTGCTATCTTTGGTCATACCAGTGAGGTAGTAAAAATTAAAAAGGATGATATACAGTGCTGAAAAGAATTAGGGTAAATGAAAATTTTTGTACATTTTTTATGGGAATATGAATGGAATATCCCAATCTTTTTAGAAGATAATCTGGCCATATTGCTTAAAAATTTTAACTCAAAAGACTCATTTCAAGAAGCTAAAGCATTGAGCTATAAGGACATCAAGAAGTTTATCTCAGCATGACCTCTGGTAGTAGAAAATGACATGAGGGGGAATGGTTGAATCATTTATAAAAAAGCCACATTCCACAAGAATCATCTCTAGCTCTTAACCTGTGGCATGATATATTTCCTAAGCAAAGAGAAAAAATAACATATAACATGAGAGCCTACATTTATGGAAACCTACAAATGGTCCTGAAAGGAAAATAGAAGGGCATATGCAGACTATTATGATAGGACAGGTAAAACTTAGTATTGTATTTATACTGGCACTGTTTCACTACTTAATGAGAGGCTCCCCCCCCTTTTTTTTTTTTCAGAAAGGGTCCTCATTTCTAAGAAAAAAGTAATTTTTAAAAAATTAAAGTTTTAAAAAACTTTAAAAAGCAACTTATTGCAACTAGACATTTTTTTTTATTAGAATATGCTAATAAAAATAAAGTGCTGAAGCCTCCCTGGTGGTGCAAGGGGTTGAGGCTCAGCACTATGAAGCTATCTGCAGCCATAGAACATGAGCTTTATCCCTGGCCAGGGGGCTGACACACAGGGCGCAGCAGACCTCTCTTGTCTCACCTGATGCTCCCCCTCAGCAGTGTATTTCATTCCATCTGCCTGTGCCCCCTACTCTGTCTCTAGTGAATCCTCTCACCCCCTGCACCTCAAACCTACATCCCAATTCTTGTATGGATAAATTTTATTTTAACTTTAAAAGATAAGACACTTCATACATTTTTAGGGTTGTCTACAACAGAGCAAGTACTGTGTTTTAGGATGCCATATTCCTAGCAACAGAGAAAATACTGTGTTTTAGGGTGCCACATTCCTAGCAAAGACTGGTTGTCTTTGAGATCTCTTCTTCCTAGAACAAATACCATATTTCCTAGCTGCTCTTGCTGGTAGCTAGAGCACATGAACTTTTCAACTTAAGAAATTTGTCCTTAAAAAGAGTGTATGACCATCTCTGGCCTCTTTTGCTGGCCAGAATGTGGGCTGAATGGCTAATATTTGAGCATGTCACTAAACTATAAAGAAGCTGTGTGAAATAATGATGGAACAACAATTAAGAAGGAGCCTAGCTTCC